GTAGTGATCAATGTTTTGTTATGCTAATTTAGAAGAATTTCTGTTAATGTTGGCTTTAGGATAGTTACCATCATGGTGACAAGTGGTGCATTCAGCTTGATTTGAGAGCAAATTATCCCTATATATTATTTTGCTCATACAGCAAGTGCTTATGTGCTTGTAAGTGCTTATAACATACTTCCTGCGTCACAATTCGCTTACTACGCCCAAAGAGTATGTACTCTTTCTGTGAGGAAAAAGTACATACTTTTGAGTGTGTAGCAAAAGAGTAGGCAAGCTTTGGGACGTACTGTATCACGTCATCTTTAACGGACAGCTCTGTCGCGTGCTGCGTGCATCCTGTCACCGTAAACTGCCCTGTCAATCATCTTGTCACAGCCACAGGTAAAATCCTCCATTCTATCTAATTTTATTTCCTACCGTTTCGGAGAGCACGTTCATCTGCCAGTTGTGGGTCTTTCATGCTCTACTCGTGTTTGCAATTTGAATATAATGATGCATTTAAAACGTAATGGCTAAACGTGTTTTTACAAAAGTTCACAATGCTGCTGCAAATGCAATATAATGTGGACAACATTGAATAAATTCATTTTCGTCAGGTTAGATACTGATAATTAATCACTCGAAGCTCTTTATCTAAACCTCTCTACACAACCGCGGGGACTCGCGCGTCCTCGTATCGACTACGTGTCTGTAGTTTTTTAACACTTTTTACTCGTGTTTGTAGTATTTCTAACCGAATCCTCGTCCAATGCGCAATGGTTTGTGGGCAATATCAGCCGTTAGAGTGTGCATCGATCTACACTTCGGATTCTGACCGGAAAAAGTAGACCATCCGGGTATCTTGAAACACTCATTTCAACATACTACGATTTGGGATGTACTAATTCTATTTTCGAATGCTATTTAGGACGGATAGTATGCGAATTGGGACGCAGCAACTGTTTCTAATATGTTAGCATTTACTACGTCAGCAGATTAGCTTTTAAGTTTATACTATTAAAGGTGATTTGAGTTCTGCCAACTTATTTGGGTTTACAGTGTACTTCATAGATTTAAATTATAGTAACTAATTAGTACTATTAACTTTATTTACCCAAGTTATCTTACCAGTAAGTTATTGAGTTACTTGGAAACAAATCAAATATTTATTTATGCTTAAATTGTTTGAGTTAATAAACTTAAATGATTTAAGGCAATCGGTTTCCTCAAACGGTTTGAGTTGAACTAACTCCTGTTAATGATGACAAACACTGTTAAGTTGTTTTGATTGATATTGTGAAGCAGCTTTGATACAATCTGTATTGTGAAAAGCGCTATATAAATATATTTTGGCTTGACTTGACTTTTGCCTGTGGCGTTACGTACAATTCCTCTGTACAATGTAACAAAATTCCTTTTGCCAGTCAAGTCCTTCCGACTGTGCGATGCGGATTCGTGTCATGATGGAGGCATTCTGGCCCTCGACTTCCCCATTTGCTTGAGCCCATTTTGGCGTTGTTTTCAGGTGTCTGATCCCGTTTTCATTACAGAAACTCTTGAATTTATCTGAATTGAATTGAGGTCCATTATCTGATTTTAGTGTGGCAGGAAGTCCAAGTCGGCTGAATATGTCCTCAAGGCTGTCAGTCACTTGTGTTGCTGTGGTTGAGGTCAGTATATCGTACTCATAATACCTACTGTAGTAATCCACCACAACTAGGATTGAGTGTTTTGATGGCAGAGGACCCAATTAATGGTCCATCTGGCAATATTAGGGGTCGCAATGGTTCTGGCACATCAGGACGAGAGACAATTTGACAGCCATGGCATGATTTGCAGTATCTCTCGGCAGCTCTGTCCATGCCAGGCCACCATACTTTGGTCCTCAGGTGCTGTTTCGTCCAACAATACCTTTGTGTCCCTCGTGGGCAAATGCTATTGCTCGAGGTTGTAGTGTTTTTGGAAGTGTCCACTTTCAATAGCTTTTCTCACCCCTATTAGTTTGGGATCTTTTTCCGACGCCTCTTTCACTTCCCTTGTGGTTAGGGCTCTCGGGGTGGCATTAATGGCTACAAATCTCACATACTCATCCGAATCATGTAACTGCTTCTCTCTCATTGCTGTGCTTCCTAGAAGTCTTGACAAGGGACCTGCAATGTTCTTTTGTCCAGAAACATAGTTGACCTTAAAGTCGTAAGGTTGAAGATGCAAAACCCACCGCTCAATGCGGGCACAGGGCTTAGAGCGTGGACTGTAGATTGTCTCTAATGGCTTATGGTCTGACCAGATCAAATTGTCTTCCATAGACATATGGGTGAAGCTTCTCACAGGCCCATACAAGGGCAAGGGCCTCCTTCTCGGTCTGGGAGTACCGTCTCTCACAGTCTGATAGCACCATTTGTCCTTTTTGACACTGTGTCAACACAGCCCCCAACCCTACAGGGCTTGCAGCAGCTATAACTTGGGTTGGTGCATTTTGTCAAAGTATGCTAAGGTCCCTGATTTGGCAAGTTCTCCTTTCAGAGCCTTAAATGTGCTTTTCTGTTCAGGACCAAAGACGAATTTGGAGTCTTTTCTGGTAAGATGTCTCAAGGGCTCTGCCAAGGTTGCAAATTGTGGAATGAACCTGCTGCTGTAATTGACAAGTCCAAGAAAACTCTGAACCTCTGAGGCTTTCTGTGGCTCTCGAGCCTCCACCACAGCCCTGACTACCTTTTTGTGTGAGTAGAATCCCCATAAAATGCAAGCGATCCATACTGATTCAGAGTTAATTCTGTTCAGAAACGTTTCATGACCGCATGTAGACGGTGATTGTGTGTTTTATGGTCAGGCGCATGCACAATGACGTCATCAGAGATGTTTTCAACTCCCTCTATTCCAGCAAGGCCAGACGCGATCTCATGTTGGTATTGTTCACCTGCGGATCATACTCCAAAAATGAGCTGCTTGTATCTGTTCACTCCATTGTGAACGTCGTGATCTGGCGGGACTCTGGCATCAAGATCTATCTTGCTGAAGACCATAGACCCATTCATACTTTGTAGCAGCTCATCTACAGTGGGAATGGGGTATCTTTTACCTAATGATTGCTTGATTGGCTTGTCACATGTCAAGACAAAGCCTAATTTCAGCTCTGGCTTTTGGATTAATCATAACCGGATTAACCCATGGGGTAGGCCCGTTCACTTCTTCAATAATATCCATTTCCAAGAGTTCTTATATCTTTTCTTCCACAGGAACCCTTAAATTGGAATCCGTCTTAAAGGCTGGGCAACTGGTTGAATCTTTGGGTCTATATACAAACTAATTTGTTTGGTTTTCAGCTTACCAACTCCTTGAAACACTTCTGGGTATTGTGAATGGAGCGACTGCTTGAGGTCTTGAGGTCACAGTCGCAACGTTTGTGCCGATCTTCAGTACTCCGAGTTTCGTGGCAGTGTCTCTCCAGCATATACCGACCGGCTGCCTACTCTTGCGTCACACTGGAAAGCTCCCTTTAGTGGTAATGGCTGATTAGATGAGCAGGAGAACAATTTCCTCTGTTTCCGGAATGTACGAATGACCTCTAATATTCTTTGCTTTCAGTTCCTCCCATGTTCTTTCATCTATGATATTGCTGGTTGCACCCGAGTCTACAAGCATTTTCAAATGGACATTTCCCAAGCAAATATTCCTTCTGTCACAGCTTGCTGTTTTCCGTTGAATTGTCCTCTCCTCCTTCCCCCTTTTTTCCTGACGCGATTCACAGAATCAATGTCAGGTTTTGATATGTCACTCGATGATGCAGCCATCTGTTCCTCATCCGTTCACAGAGGGCATAAACCTCCAACTCACAATCGAGCGTGAGATTAGGAGATTAGGTCCTTCCTCCAGAAGTTCACGACGCACATACATTGATAAGCATTCACCTATGATGGCCACCCGCATTTGATTAGTCATGTCGCAAATGCACAGTCTTTTGCTGCCTGTCTGAGACGTGTTGTGAACTGTTGAATCGTTTCACTTGGGTTTTGGGAAAGTTTATAAAAAGACTGTCTTGTACACGCAGTATTCACTCGTAGCTCGAAGTATGTATTCAAGGCTGCGACGGCCGTGTCGTAATCGGCAGCACCTCTCGTATCCGCCAGAGTGGAGAATATATCTTGATCAGGTCCAGCAGCGTGATGCAAGAGAAGTGCTCTGCGCCGCTGACGGGATGCAGCAGCGTCATCTTCTTCAATTATAAGTCCCTTACCGTCCGTATAAACTTCAAATGATGTCAGCCACCTTGTCCATGTTGAACCAAGAGTTGCAGGATCTTTGTAGCACTCAAAGTAGGAATACCAGACTTTTCCAATCACGTGTAATCAGTGCTCACACCCACTGGGCCCCATCCTCGTCGCCAATGTTATATATCTGCTTTCTTGTGTAATCAGGTATCTGTCATGCACTCTGCCAAATTAAATCAGTCACACGCTTGATAACTTTCCAAAAAGCGTCTTTACTTCTTTACTGTTTTACGTGAACTCCCCCTACTACATCCGGTCCCCGCATACATATCAGTACACTCACATCTTAAAGATACAGACCATCATTCTAATACATGACAGTAAAATACCTTTTTTAACGCGTTCACTTTGTCATAACAACAACGCAAATAATTAAATCAATCCGACTGTCGACTGTCATGTTGTATTGAAGTCATTGAGGTTTTGAGTCAGTTGCTCAGTTTGACCTCTAGATGTCAGTAAAGCTGCTCAGAGACGTATGGATGATTTTACATCAGCGACTCAAGTGTTTTCGGGAACACTTTACAATAAAATAACAGGGCATAATTAATAATCATGTACTAATACCTGAATTAATAGTTACTTCAACATTAACTTATGATTAGTGAGTATATGAGCTTATCATGAACCAACGAAGAGCAAACCTTGACTACAACAGGAGTCAGACTGATTCATGAATAACAGCAGCCTTAAACATCTTATACATGTGTGATAGTTAATGCATCCATTCATATTTAGCAGTAAACTAAATCGTTTCACACGTTATTTATTTATTTAAAACACAGTTAAAGGGATCATCAGCAAGAACCTTTACACAAGAACAAATGATCATTTCACCTCTATAACTCAAATAATTATTCATTTAGTCTCATGTTGAACAAACATAGAAAATGTGCAGAATTTACTGCTTCAGTTTTTTGATGTAATACAAGAAAAAATATAATATATAATCATATATAATTACGATGCAAAACGTTTTGGAATATATAAACACAGATTGAGTGAAATAATGTGGTAAATGTCAGTTCTCCTGAAAACATGAATGCTAAAACGGTCTCTAATGGGTCTAATTGTGTGAAGTGGAATATAAATGAAAACTTGATGTTTATTGATCTGAGTGTTGCTGTAGTGCTGATATCAGTCATGTGATCATCACGGCCCAATCACAGCCACCGTACTGACACTCAGATCAACAGCACTCTTACTCATGTGAGATGGAGTAAATATTGGAAACATGATGAAAGCAGGAAGATCCAGATCTACAGGAGAGACGTTTACTGACTATTGACCGCTAAGATCCTCAGAGAGCCAGAATAACACCGGAAGAATGGAAAGAGTGTGTCAGTGAAGGTGTCTGTGAGTGTGTGTAGATGTGTGTTAGTTTCAGGATCAGAGAACGACACCGTTCCTCCATTATAGTCCAGATTCACTCTCACACGATCAAGCTTCTGTTTAACAGGAAAACCAAAATACAGTCCGGACGGATCATACTCCACACACCAGACATCATCAGTGTTGAAGAAACCTCCTCCCTTCCTCTGGTCTGATGCTGTAGTTACTCCAAGAGCCCAGAATTCACTCTCTGTAACGTCCACATCCCAGCAGTGTGTTCCTGAGTTAAATCCCTCTGAACCCAGAACACAGAGATACCCGTCAAATCTCTCTGGATTATTAGGAAGAGTTTGATAGTTTTCGCTGTATCTCACACTGGTCAGATCATCAGACAGGACGAACCATGGATTTGCAGTGTTTGGATCCAGAATCACAGGAGCTGATGAGACACAATCAACACATGCTTTTATTCTGATCTTCATATAATGATCAACAGTGAACCCAACACAGATTATTATGAATTATGACACTCGTCCTGTTGATCAAACTCATTTTCCTCTGATCACTGTCAGTGCTGTTATTAGTTTCACACTCGTTTTATCATCAGCGTTTAACGGCATCAACTACAAACATTAAATATGAGATTCAGACATTTGTGTCCATCAAGAGAAACTGAAACTTTGGGAAAGTTAAATAACAATAAATCAATGAGATCTGTTGATATCAGTGCCGCTGCTAGCCATTTTGGTGCCATAAGCATAATCCCTTTATGATGCTATCTCCATTTTCACCTGCAATTACTTTCTTCCTAATTAGCGTTCCTACTTCTAGTTCTCTTTTTCCCCCTATCCTTTGCCAGATTATTGACTTTCTGTTCTTCTGATTACCTGCTACACGAGACTTTCTGTTTGACTACTCTACGCTACTTGCATTGATTTCATTAAAAGAACTGATTCCCGCAGATTGCACTTGGGTCCTTTTTTCCCCTGAACGTGTGCGTGACAGAATAATCTGGCCAGAAGGATGGACCCAGCAACCGAACATTCCTTCCACTCCGCAGTGGAGTTCCAGGGTGCACTGCTGGGCCGTCATCAGGACGAGCTGACCACTACTCGTCGAGCAGTCGAATCCTTGGCGAGTCAACTGTCGGATCTCTCCGAGCAGATGCACTGTTTACGCTCAGAGCCCCATCCACGCGCCTCTGCAATCCAAGAATCCAGAATTAATAATTCACCCTGCTACTCTGGCGACCCTTCTGAGTGCCGTTCATTCCTCACTCAATGCGAGGTGGTTTTCAAATTACAACCACTCACCTACTCGCTGGACCGCACTCGCATCGCCTACGCTGTGTCTCTTCTTACCGGTAAGGCGCGGGAGTGGGGAACGGCGGTCTGGAATGGCGACTCTGATTGCATCCGCTGTTATTCAACATTCAAGGAGGAGATGACTCGAGTGTTTGTTCGATCTTCACATGTTGCCGAGGCTTCTCATTTGCTCTCATCTCTCCGTCAGGGTAAACGGTCAGTCCCAGACTTCTCTATTGAGTTTCGCACGCTCGCTATGACATGTGGATGGAATGAGCCAGTGCTCGTTGCTCGTTTCATCGAGGGTCTCAACACAGACATTAAGGACAAGCGCGAAGCCCTGGAGAAATATCTCTCTGAGTCCCTCATGGCAGGCACTATTGTTTCATCTTCCTCTCCCGCCGGCGCAGGTTTCTTTTTTGTAAAGAAGAAAGACGGCTCTTTGCGCCCTTGTATAGATTACCGTGGGCTTAATGACATAACGGTCAAGAACCGCTACCCTCTTCCCCTTATGTCATCAGCTTTCGAGATCCTCCAGGGGGCAAAGATTTTTTCAAAACTGGATCTGCGCAACACGTATCATTTAGTGCGTATAAGAGAGGGAGATGAATGGAAAACCGCGTTTAATACTCCTCTCGGGCACTTTGAATATAGGGTTCTTCCGTTTGGTCTCGTAAATGCCCCCTCAGTCTTTCAGGCCCTAGTAAATGACATCTTGAGGGATATGCTGAACATCTTTGTTTTCGTCTATTTAGATGACATATTGATTTTCTCCCCATCTCTCCAGGTTCACGTTCAACATGTACGCCGTGTACTCCAACGTTTATTGGAGAATCGTCTTTTCGTAAAGGCGGAGAAATGTACCTTTCATGCCAAGTCGGTCACGTTTTTAGGGTCGGTCATTTTCATCGTTTCGATTTTTCCATTTCATATCGCCCTGGTTTCAAGAACCTTAAGCCCAATGCCCTCTCGCACCAGTTCGATTCCCCCGTGGAAACTCCTGTGAGAGAAGAGATTCTCCCTCAGGGTTGTATCGTTGGCTCTTCCATCTGGGGAATCGAACGGTTGGTTAAACGGGCTCTATCTCGGGTCGTTACTCCTCGCCAGTGTCCGCGAGACCTACTCTTCGTTCCTGTCCCCACTCGCTTATCTGTCATGCAATGGGGTCACTCCTCCAAGTTGTTCGCTCATCCTGGGGTCAGGGGAACCATTGCTGTCATCCGTCAGAAATTCTGGTGGCCTACCCACGAGCGCGATATCAGTCGATTTGTGGCCGCCTGTTCTATTTGTGCTCAGACCAAGTCTAGTAATTTGCCACCGGCCGGTCTGCTTAGACCCCTTTCCATTCCCTCGCGCCCGTGGTCGCATATCGTGCTCGACTTCATTATCGGTTTACCGGAATCCAAAGGCAACACTGTAATTCTCACCGTAGTTGATCATTTCTCTAAAGCCGCTCACTTTGTTCCACTTCCCAAGCTTCCTTCCGCTAAAGAGAACGCTCAAGCTGTCGTTAGTCATGTATTCAAGATTCACGGACTTCCCTCGGATATCGTGTCTGATCGCGGACCCCAATTTGCTTCATTATTCTGGAGGGAATTTTGCCGTCAGATTGGTGCGTTACCCAGTCTTGGTTATCACCCGCAGACTAACGGTCAGGCCGAGCGCACTAATCAGATAGTTGGTCGTATTCTCAGCAGTCTGGCATTTCGTAATCCTCCTCATGGGCTGATCAACTCCCATGGGCTGAGTATGCCTACAATCCTTCTCCGTCCTCCGCTACCGGCTTATCTCCGTTTCACAGCTGTCTCGGGTACCAACCTCCTCTATTTCCTTCCCAGGAGATGGAGACCAAAGTTCCGTCCGTCGAGGCGTTTATTCGGCATAGTAAGAAGACCTGGAGAGGGGTGAGGTCTGCTTTATGCCACTCTCGTTGTCTCACTTGCTGTGCCGCTAATCGTCGTCGTATAAAGAGTCCAGTGTATCGCGTACGAAATTACTCTGTCCGTCCGCGAGGTCGTGGTCATCGGTATCTTGTCGACTGGGAGGGATACGGGCCGGAGGAGAGGAGCTGGATCCCGTCACGGAACGTCTTGGACCGCTCGCTTATTGAGGACTTCTACCGCACTCGCCAGTCTCTACCCTCGGGAGCGCTCGTTGAGGAGGGGGTACTGTCATGATCCTGGTATTCTCTCCTGTTTCTGTCTACCTCTTGTGTTTTTTTCGGTTCCTTGATTCATTCACCATCACGCTGACACACCCACCATTCTCACACGTGCTCCCCTCATTCACACATACCTCGCTTAGACACACCCACTTACTACTATGCTCATTCATTCTCCGCCAGCTGTTGGCCATCAGTTCTCTCATTACTCTATCTCTATTTTCACCTGCTATTCTTCCTAATTAGCGTTCCTACTTCTAGTTCTCTTTTTCCCCCTTTCCTTTGCCAGATTATTGACTGTTAACGTGTGTTGCAGAGCTTACCCGTTCTTGTCTTGTCCTGTCCCGTTGACTAACCCTAACCCTGCGCACTGCCTGTGCTGAAAATTACTGAAGTCTTTCTCTACCCAGCTTCTCTGTATCTGAGGCCGACTGACGGTCCACGAGCCCTGATCTGTGTTCTGGCTGCTGGATGCTGAGTATCATTGTGGAATCACCCCTCAGTTTGATCCATCCATCCATCCATCCATCCATCATGTCCAGCTTAGATCTTCAGACTCACTGTTTTGGACGATGTCCTGCATCTTCTTCCAGACTCTAAACGGCAGGTTGCCCAAGTATCGAGGCACATGAATCAAAGCTCCAGAAGCCATCTGTGGATCCGGCCGTGAGCTCTGGACTCTGGAAGAACATTCAGGAGTCAGAACTGCAGTGGCTTTGGATCAGAACCAGAGAGACCAGAGACAGGAGCAGATCACTCACCTTTCCATTGAGACTGGAAACTCCTGCAGAACAAACACACCATTATCATCAAGAACTCAATCAATCAACCAATGATCAACCAATGATTTGAAATCAGACCTTCAGAAAGCAGACGTCACTGGCTTTCATCATCTCCTCCATGTCTTTGAGTGTGTGTGAAAGAGCTGAGATGTGTGTGTTCATCTCCTCCAGCTTCTCCTTCATCATCTGCTTCTTCTGCTCCTCTTCCTCCCTCAGTGCAGTGACTGTAGCTTCTTCTTCATCTCTGAGAAACTGATGAAGCTTCTCAAACTGCTGTTTAATCTGATGCTCTGTGTGCTCAGCTTGAGCCTGAAATCACATCACATTCACTTCAATCATCTCAATCCACACTTTACATCATTAATATCCAGGATAAACTCCCATACCCGACATAAAACTGATCCAGAAGCAGATTGCTGCTCGTCATTTACAGAAATAATAAACTGGAATCCATTATATCAAATCATAACTGTATATAGTGTCCAACAGCTGGAATGAAAATGACTCTCGTTTCTGTTTCCTCACCTTGATGTGTTGAACTGTTTTCTCAAACTCTGCTTTCATTGTTGTATTGTGTTTCAGTTTCTCCTGTAAGGACTTCAGTGCTGTATTGAACTCCTCCTAGAATTGAACAAATATACATAAAACACCAGATTACAGTGAAGAGAAGACAATACAGTGATATGATCATATAATGCAGTGAAAAAGTATTTGTAAAAGTAAAACAGATGGGCCGACTGCATATTTAAGTCTGACAGGAGAGACCATCGCCGCTCATCTCTGCCCGCCCACGGCCCTAAGCCATGCAGAACTAGATCGGCCTCACGGACAGAGAGTTTGTGGCCTTCAGAGAGCTGTGCACCGCGACCGACCTCGCCCTGCGTGCCACTAAGTCTACAGCCCAAGCAATTGGTCGTGGCATGGCCAGTTTGGTGGACCACCTTTGCCTGAATGACTGGTAATGGCATGAAGACTAGGGTTGAGTTAGGTAGAGGTACTGGAATGGTAGGTAGAGGGAAAACTCTGGTTATTTGATTGTAGAGGCCAGTTTGGTGTTCCTCGAGCGCCACCTTTGGCCTAACCTGAAGGAGATTAAGGACTCCGACAAGACAGCCCTCCTTGACTCCCGTCTCTCACTCGGGTCTGTTCGGGTCTGCAGTGGACGGAAGCGCTGAGCGTTTTACAGCGGCCCAGAAGTCGCCACTTCAGTTAAAAACAAACACCTTCACAACAAGAGCATTCCTCCTCTTCATTATCCAATCGCAAGCATCAGCCCCCCACCACAGTTTCCACTCTTGAACCGCAGGCTTGGGAAGCTTTTACCGGCGTGACAGATTGGGTTTCAGAAACAATCAAATGGAGTTACTCACTCCAGGTCTCTCTATGCTCTCCTGCCTCAGGGGTGACCAACACTTCAGTCCCGGACATCGGCGCTCGCGTCCTCCGAGCTGAAGTACAAGCTCTGCTAGTGAAGAGCGCTGGAGGAAGTTCCCGCGGCCCACAGCGACTCAGGCTTTTACAGACGCTTCTTCCTCGATCCAAAGAAGTTTGGCCTCAGACTCATCCTCCATTAGAGATGCTGAACCGCGCTCTAATAAGACGCTAACTTTGAAACAAATCCTCTCACAGATCTGATTGGTTTACATCAGTGGATCTGGAGGACACATACTTTCATATCCAGATAGCTCCTCATCACAGTTCTTGAGATTCACGTTGGAAGGGGTGGCTCACCCAAATAATACAGTCCTACCATTCGGACTGTCTCTTACTCTGCGGACTATTACGAAATGTGTGGATATGGCCCTCTTCCCCCTGAGACAGATGGGAATTCGCCTCCTGAATTACCTCAATGATTGACTTCTTTTAGCTCAACTATGCACACACAGATCTTTGCTCATCAGGACCGAGGTTACGTTAATAACCGGAACGATCTGTGTTTATCACGGACTCATCGTGTTTCTTTACATGTGAATCAAGAAACATTTGTCTTACCTTAGATGATGAAGCCACTTCACTGATGGGTCTGAATTTATGATTGTCATGTTGTGTTGAATCTCTGCACACGATACACACAGGCTGTTTATCCTCCAGACAGAAGAGCTTGAGTTTCTCACTGTGTAAACTGCAGATCTCCTCAGACCCTGATGAACGCCTCTCATTTCTCTCCTTCAGGAACGACTCACACAAGTTTCTTAATGCAAGATTAACTGGAGGATCAGATGTTGAGGTTCTCCTGCAGACAGGACACTCCTGAGATGTCTTGGTTCTCCAGTACTGTTGAAGACACTCTTTACAGAAACTGTGACTACAGGATAAAAGAACAGGAGTCTTGAAGATTTCACAGCACACAGGACAAATATAATCATCTTCAGCTGCTGAAGCCATTCTCACTGTTTGAGCTCCAGAAATCTAAACTTTACTTTCACTTTCTGAATGACGGTTTTAAAAATGAATCACCATGAGAATCACAAAGATCAGAATCAAACTTGTTCAGGAAGAAACTTCTCAAATTCTTCTGTAAAGTTTTTCTCTTCGTACTCCACTGATCGCTGATTCTTTATTGCTTTTGTCGAGACAAAGTCAGTATGGCAGAAAAGAGAAATAACAAGTCCGTCTCTTCCTGGTCAGTGTTGTAAGAGGGATCATCTGATCAAGGTGTGTTGAAACAGGTCGAACAACTTCTTCAGGATTTTTTCATGTAAAATTAACTTGCAGTGAAATGTTAAGATATAATGCTATAAAGCCTTGGATAAACCACAAAAGAACAATGAAAATACTCAAATATTTAAAAAAATATGTGTTTCATTTATTGTTTCATTTATTGTTCATTATTGCGGGGTAGCCTGGTTAAAACTAGACCATTCTCAGTCTTGAAAAGCGTCATAGACAAATCATTTCCAGTGGGGCGTCACCAACGGACGTCGCGGATAGACCTAAAACCAATTAGAGGTGAAGGAGATGATGTTTGCAGAGCGGCTCCAAGTGTTGTTCTTTGCTCGGTTTTTAACAAAAAGTAAAAGTTCAATTCGCTTAAAACAGACGCGATGGCTGATTCAAACGAGTGATGTTCGACGGCGGCGTCCATCTTTGTAATGTAGGCTACAAAATATCCTTCAAAATCCCAGCGCTGTCGTCATCGGGTAAAGCCCGCCCCAACGTTTCTGATTGGTGCCTCGATTTTGACGGATAGGAAATGGGCTTTAATGAGCTCTTTGCCAGACTAACTTTCAGAGCAAATCTAAATTTGCCGGAAGTTGTCTGGGTTTTCCCAGGCTAGAGGCGGGGAATTGTCACACCTGAAAGTCCACACCAAGGTCCAAAAAAAGGTCATGATACATTTTATCCTTTCAGAAAGTTTTGGTTTGGTTTCACACTGCAATTATGAGAGCGCACTGAAGAACTTTACGCGACACACTTGTGTCCCGTCCTCATCATCTATGTGGGGTGCATCTCGACACTGATTGGTTTAGTAAATGGACGTGCGTCTGACGTCAGCGGGTTTGTCGATTCTGCGGGTAACTTTGACAACATGAATGAACAGACCCATATCTCCCGTCCTCTCATACCCTCGCTCTCTCATCTTCTTCGAAAATATTTGGAAAGTATCTGCATTTTTATGTTTTTTCCAGTTGACCTTCTCTCTACATGTGCTTCCACAGATCATTTTCCTGCCACCTTCTGTTTATTCCAGTAAAGGTATGAATGTCTGAACCATACAGAAATGCTTTCACACTAGAAACAATCCAAACCTTTGTTCAGTTTGATCCGGACCGAGACTGAGGGCATTTTCACACCTGAAAGTCCGCACCAAGGTCCGAACCAAAGTTCACGTTTTGATGCATTTTATCCTTTCAGAAAGCTTTGGTTTGGTTTCACACTGCAATTATCCGAGCGCACTGAAGAACTTTACGTGACACACTTGCGTCCTGTCCTCATCATCTATGTGGGCTGCATCTCGACACTGATTGGTTTAGTAAATGGACGTGCGTCTGACGTCAGCGTGTTTTCAGTTCGGCGGGTAACTTTGACAACAAGATTGTTGCGACTATATTGTTATTTTTATAGCATAATAACCTACAGCACCAACTATACACAAGGCTAGTTCAAATTCGTCAACTGAACGTCCTCGTCGTGCGAACATTTTATCGTCGCCGGCAGGAAAGGAGGAGAAGACTGCAAGGTGACTTCTTATTATGTCACCAGACCGTACTTCTATTATAAACCTCGTCTCCTCATCTCCTCGTGTGCTACCACGGCTCATTTCTCCTGCCACCTTCTGTTTTTTGGCTTTTTGGGAACCACCAGAACTCCCTGTAAATGGTCTGAAAGTCCGAACCATACATAAATGCTTTCACATTAGAAACGAACCAATCCTTTGTTCAGTTTGATCCGGACCGAGACTGCCTCTTTTCGTCCAACCAAATTTCACCTTTTTGGTCCGGACCGTGGTCCAAGGGAGGTTTCACATCTCCAATTTTGATTTGGACTAAACTGAAAAGTCTGAAAGTCCGGACCAAACAAGGTATGTTCTTTTAGATCGGCTGCACCCAAAACCTTCTTTTCCGTCTTTTAAAGAAAATGAAAAGCTCGTCTTCACTGGATGATGATGATGAAGTGTCCATGTTTTCTCAGCTGTTGGCGTGAAGGTTTTGGACTGTCGAAACTCCGAACGTCGTAAATTTGTGTCTCGGCTGATGTGAATGCTTGAACCTTTCGCTTTTTCGTTACGCGTACGGTGTGAAAGGGCCTTAACTCCTGTAGTGGCAGAGGGAGTCGATCGATAGCACACGAGAGCTAACAGAGGATCCGCGCATGCCCAGGGAACTCATGAATATTCATGTAGGCTCCGCCCACTGCCTCTACAGACTCACAACTCACTTCTGCTCCACGTTTCATAGAGCAAAAGGGAGAGCTCACGAAACTTGTCCTTTGAAAGCGAAAAACAGTGATTTGCCGCAGCAGATTCAAGAAGCTGGAGTTATGTACAGTACTTGTGTTTGTGCTAGAAAAATACAAGACATTTGTGAGAGAATATTCTACAAGTGTGCAACTCTCATTGGATGAATTCACATACAGAAATGCGGATGAGAAACATTTCTCCGTGACTTCTCATGTTTTGATGCGGGTGTGTAAATGCCTTTTGCACATATTCACTGCAGAAACTGTAGCAAAAATGTGAGCGTACCAGTTTCTTAATGTTTGGTTTGTAGAACAGGATTTGTGCAACTGCAATGAAGAATTAGAGAAGGTGAAACTGTTGTGGTGTGTTTATGGAAGATAAAAAAGTCTACAAGTTTGCAACTCTTAAAACGTTTCTCTCTGTTACTTCAGATTTACTGATACACATGTGTGGATATTCTCGGCAACTACAAATTTCACTCTCACAGGCGTTCAGTTGTTTTGCACCAAATATACCTTCATAATGTATATATATGAGTCTGTGTGTGTGTGAGCAGAGTGAGTCAAAACGGCCTTCTTTCTTCTCTGGAAAGAAAGGCACTGGGGCTGCACGCTGTGGACTATCACGGCCCACCTCGAGATGCTAATTATCCAGCCTCGAGGGTTCAGGACACGGTGGAGCCCAACTCTCTCGGCTTTCTGGGAAAGGATAGCCATCAATTCTGGATCCGGCTCGGACTACAAAAAACCGCGATCACACACACTTGTTCACTGTGTCACTCTTCCTGTCTTCACAACCTGAGAGCCCTGTCTGATTAATATTTCCTAATTTAGTAATAGGCCTATTATTCAGGAAAATAGTAAGCAGTAAACTGGTGAATTTCAATTCCCCCATTACTCTCTTTACAAATATATGTGATGCGAAAATACATTCACGAGTTTACATGTTAATGAAATCAGATAAAGTATTATAATGCGTATTTGGCTTGCTGTCCTGGGGAGGGCTCTGAGCTCAGAATTCGGCCTGACCCCAGAGAACTCCCCCTTACTTTAGGGATCTTAGGTATCTATGCGCGGAGTCGCGGACCCAGCCGAATGTGGGGTGAAGGAGTGGTGGTGGGATGCTGAGAAATTAGTCATGAGACAGGAGGTAAGTGAAGGCTTTATTTATACTAGCTTTCCTTGCGCTGATTGGATGATTACCTGAACATGCTCCTCCTGAAACTTGTTAAATAAAACTTAATTTCACGAGTTTACATGTTAATGAAATCAGATGCGTATTTGACTTGATGTCCGGGGGAGGGCTCTGAGCTCAGAATTCGGCCCGACCCCAGAGAACTCCCCCAAAATGCCAGATAAACGAAGGACAGCGAGCGTAGAATTTTAACCCCCCAAAAAAGTGAAGGGTATGTAATTTACCAAGAAACGAGCTTGCCTGTTCGACTGGGAAGGCTCTCGCAACGACCGACGGGAACTTGGATGCTCACGGCATCGGACGGATAAGCCCATTCTGCAGTTGAACTGACAGCTCGCTGACGTAAGAATTAGCGAGCGTAAATTTGTGGTCGAGTTTAACCGTTCACCCGGGAGGGCTCTCACTCGGTCGGGAGGGCTCGACCGGCGCTTCGATAGGGGGCCTGGGGCACGGGAAAGACCCCTCAAGTCCCGACGAATGGGGAGCCTCCTGGCAACACGAGCGCGGACGTCCGGCGACGCCTAAGACGGGCAGACTCTCACTGCAATTCGAACGGGAGGGTTCAACCAGCGTTTTGGAAGGGGGACGGAGCCCAGTCTTCGAACGGCTGAGTCATCTCTGCGTGCGAACGGGGGAGTCTGCGTGTGATTGAAAAACGTACTATGAATCTTAAGCGAGTGGCGAGCCCAGATGTAGTCGGAAGGTATAGTGTGAGCGGATGTAGCTGAAGTGAAGCATGGCAGGAGATAATTATGATTAAACTTGATCGGAACAGCGGAGGAAACTGAAGAATGCTAGGATGAACATGGCTTCTAAAGTATAGGCGGTGCTGATGGAGTAGTATCCAAGACGGAGTGATGACGTGCATCTAGTGAGTATATCGATTGATTGGTTGTCTGGTATCTGGGTGCGTGGGGCGGGATCTTTGGATTCCCTTAAAGGGATAGTTCACTTTGAAATTAATTTTTGATACTATTTAGCTTACCTCAAGGGCATCCAAGATGTAGGTGTCTTTATATCCACAGTATTTTCAATTTTGACATTTTTCAGGCAAAGTGTTGTTGTCTATAAGTCATACACTGGAGGCTAAGGGGGTCCACCAAAGAGCAGCACAGAGAAGTCCAAATTAAACATGATTTAATGACTCGTAAATGTAAGTACACATTGATGTCCTAAGACACGAAACGAGCGGTTTGTGTGTGAAAACGAACATTATATCGTTTTTGCCTGGGAGGGATCGATGGATTGATTTGGGGGGCATGCCGTGGTGGCATGGATTGTGGATCTGCAAATTGCGCAGGAGATATTTCTGCACCCGAGGAAGACTCGGTTATGAAGATCGGTGTCCAACACTCCCCAATAGGGACATTGATTCCATTGGGAAACGCGGACTGCACATTTTGCAGAAAACAGCTTGATACTTATAAAAATGACTACCCCCGTAAGACAACGCAAGCTCCGCTATGATAGACAAATAGTCATTCAGCTCGTGCCGTCTATGTGGAAAAGACGAGCATATGATTTCTGTATAGCGGCTGAAGGCAAGACAGAATTCGGTTAGTGACAATGTACCTGTGAGTTATTTTTTAGAGTGACTGAAATGTTGCCGCAATCTACTTGGCGATTGGATTCGGCCGGTGGAAACAAGGACAGGAGAGAACCCAAATCAACGTCTGCGCCTGCGAGGATTTGAGCTCGGATGTTGTTCGTCACTGGAGGAGGTTCCGTTACCACTGCATTCAGAGGGGCTGGTTGAGGAGTGGCTGAGAAGAGAGAAAAAGGAGAACGCACTTGAAGAGGGTTAAAGGGATGGAAAGTCGGGGCTGTGGCCGTTTGCGGAGGCATCCTCACGCCGAGATCGGCCCCCGGGTTAGATGGAGGAGGAATGGGGAGAGCATAGTGTGGAAAGGGAAGGAAATGCGCCGGTGATTGACCGGCTAACAGAGGCATCCTCACGTTAGGGTGAGCACCTGGCGCTTGAGAAGGAGGAAAACTGAGAGAAGTAGAAGGGAAGAAAAACGTTTGGGGATCCTGTAAGAAAGTGTAACTGCCGGGATCTAGAGTGTGAGGTACCACAGTGGGAGGGGCTGAGGAGGGGAGTTGGCCTGGAGGAGGTTGGCGCCTTTCCGTGACAGGATCCGGGCGCGGCCCAGGCTAGCGGAAGGTCTGTGATGCCGTGTCGCGGGGAGCGGCAAATGCGGAAGGAGGTACTGCAGAACGAGCGATCGGGGTCCGGCGAGCTTTGCCCGTTCTAGCCGGAGGAATTGGAGCTGAAACAGAAGGTTGAGCAGATTGTAAGGTAACATATAAATTATATAATTCTGCTTTTTTCATCCTGCGGGAGAAATTTGTATCAGAATTAATTAGGGCATGTCTTAGCCCCTTAACTGTCCACTTCCCTATGGGAGGGATGTTTGGGGTAGCTGTAAGATAGGAAGGCACGGAAGACGATGACGAATTCCTCGCTGGCGGTGGTGAGGGGAGTTTTCGGCGTCTTGGAGTGTGCGGAGAGGATCTAGAGAGCTGACGTCCCCTGGATGAGGATGGAGGCTCAATGTTGTCGTTGGCTGCTGGAGAAGGAAGAGTCGCTGGAGTGGAGATGATTCCGTGATGAAAGATTCATCGTCAGAGGGGAAGAGCACTAACTCGGACATGACTGCACGGAGGCGGAGTCAAGTGCTGAGAAATTAGTCATGAGACAGGAGGTAAGGAAAGGCTTTATTTATACTGGCTTTTCTTGCGCTGATTGGATGATTACCTGAACATGCTCCCCCCGAACCTTGTTACATAAAACTTCATATATAATTTGCGATATATGTGTAATTATGTATTGAAGCGGCTTGAGATCAGATTTTCTTAGCGATGACATAATTACACATCATTTTATTGGTAAAATACCTTTTTTTAACGCAGGTTCACTTTGTCATAAAAACAGCTCAATAAGTGGATGGACACTTGGCTAATGACACCTTCTTCAAATAATGAAATCAATCCTCCAGCTGTGAAACATTAGGATGGGGACCAAATGCTTTTTTAGCAGGACTGTTTCTTCTTATTGTAGACTGTCATGTTGTATTGAAGTCATTGAGGTTTTGAGTCAGTTGCTCAGTTTGACCTCTAGATGTCAGTAAAGAGACTGACGGATGATTTTACATCAGCGACTCAAGTGTTTTCGGGAACACTTTACAATAACAGGGCATGAATAATCATGTACTAATACCTGAATTAATAGTTACTTCAACATTAACTTATGATTAGTGAATATATGAGCTTATCATGAACCAACGAAGAGCAAACCTTAACTACAACAGGAGTCACACTGATTCATGAATAACAGCAGCCTTAAACATCTTATACATGTGTGATAGTTAATATGCATTCATTCACGTTTAGGGGTAAACTAAATAGACCCTTTCACATGTTATTTATTTATTTAAAACACAGTTAAAGGGATCATCAGCAAGAACCTTTTACATAAGAACAAATGATCATTACACCTCTATAACTCAAATAATTATTCATTTAGTCTCATGTTGAACAAACACTGAAAATGTGCAGAATTTACTGCTTCAGTTATTTGATTTAATACAAGAAAAAATATAATATATAATCATATATAATTACGATGCAAAACATTTTGGAATATATAAACACAGATTGAGTGAAATAATGTGGTAAATGTCAGTTCTCCTGAAAACATGAATGCTAAAACGGTCTCTAATGGGTCTAATTGTGTGAAGTGGAATATAAATGAAAACTTGATGTTTATTGATCTGAGTGTTGCTGTAGTGCTGGATATCAGTCATGTGATCATCACGGCCCAATCACAGCCACCGTACTGACACTCAGATCAACAGCACTCTTACTCATGTGAGATGGAGTAAATATTGGAAACATGATGAAAGCAGGAAGATCCAGATCTACAGGAGAGACGTTTACTGACTATTGACCGCTAAGATCCTCAGAGAGCCAGAAGAACACTGGAAGAATGGAAAGAGTGTGTGAGTGAAGGTGTCTGTGAGTGTGTGTAGATGTGTGTTAGTTACAGGATCAGAGAACGACACCGTTCCTCCATTATAGTCCAGATTCACTCTCACACGATCAAGATCCTGTTCAACACGAAAACCAAAATGAAGACCACCATAAGACCACCATAAGATTCCGTCCGGATCATACTGCACACTCCAGACATCATCAGTGTTGAAGAAACCGTATCCCTTCCTCTGTTTTGATGCTGTAGTTACTCCAAGAGTCCAGCATACACTCTCTGTAACGTCCACATCCCAGCAGTGTGTTCCTGAGTTAAATCCCTCTGAACCCAGAACACACACACTACAGTCAAATCTCTCTGGATTATTAGGAAGAGTTTGTCTGTTCCCGCTGTATCTCACACTGGTCAGATCATCAGACAGGACGAGACGTGGATTCGCAGTGTTTGGATCCAGAATCACAGGAGCTGATGAGACACAATCAACACATGCTTTTATTCTGATCTTCATATAATGATCAACAGTGAACCCAACACAGATTATTATGAATTATGACACTCGTCCTGTTGATCAAACTCATTTTCCTCTGATCACTGTCAGTGCTGTTATTAGTTTCACACTCGTTTTATCATCAGCGTTTAACGGCATCAACTACACACATTAAATATGAGATGGCAGTTGGTTTATATAATTCACTGACAAACAGCCTTTGAAGTAACATCACTTGCAGCTGCCAAGCCACTCCCTAGCAACTAAACAGATTACCCTAGCAACTGTTCAGCAAGACCCATATCTCTGCACCAGAATATCGTAGACTCTTGGCGGTCGACTCCTTTGTCTAATGCTAGAAAACAGGACTTGCTACTCATACTAGCAGTGAACAGCTATGCTAATAGCGATTAGGTAAGTGTTAAAACGTCAAAATTGCTAACTAAAATGCAGAAGCATATTAAAGGTGCCCTCTGGCATAAAAAATCAAATCATACACCATATTCCATACCAGATGGGGGCAGTATACCTCCAGAAATACCTCCGCAGACGAGCGCACTCATGTCTTCAAACAACACGAGCGAGCGCTGTGTTGCTCTCTCTCCCGAGCTCGCGCATATTAATCAAATCATTTGACACGATAGTAAAAGGTTGGAAGACCGCAGTTTCACGAGGAGAATTTGGAGATTTTTAGAGATTAGAGACTAAATGAACAACATCTCAATACTAAATTATAAAGGCCGTCTCATAGACAAGCCGGTGCATTTCGACAAATGGGAAAATTAAAGTTCGGGCTATTATTTCTAGTTTTATGATATTTGTTTTGTTCATATTGCACTTTTATCATTAGTTTGAATTAATTTGACAGACAGCATTCCCTGATGTGGACCAAGCTAGCGTCTTTCAGAGCTGCCAACTCTCACCGATTCACCGTGAGACACACAATCGACACTTTTCCCACAGAAAAGGACATGGAGACCGATCTCAGATCTCAGGTTCTGTTAATTTTATTACGCAATTCAAACAATTAATACCGTTTTGGCGCTTGTACGTTACACCACAGATCCCTAGCGCACGTGAACCGATCATCTCTACTAGCTAATGGAAAAAGAAAACGAACACTGTTGAAAGATACAGTATGTTACAACTTACCAAAATGTATTCCTCATGCATAATATCGACCAATCATTTATTTAACTCTTTCCTGAACTGAAATGTAGTAGTGGGCTGTATTTCCACACGACTGACATCAGGTTCAAGTATACACAAGCCGGCGCGAGTTACTCGTCTATTGCAGTTTGGCTGGTGGTAATGTCGCCCGCCCGCATACCGCCTCCCATGGCCGAAACTGGTATTACGACACCTGCCGGGTCGGGGCTAGTAATTTAGCATGCTAATTCAGGTTAATATCTCGGCAGCACTATAACTTGTCATTTTTTTAATGACATCATCAACCTTATTTCTTCTCATTCTTTTGATGCGTGTAGCTCATTTTTGGGATATTTTAACCTCAATTTTTACAGAGGGCACCTTTAAGCAAGTTAGCACAATGCTAACAACATGTTATCAGTGTCAGTTTCTCATTCCTTCCAACAGACTGCAAATGCTTTTGGACATGCATCAATTGCTTTCATACAACTCTCTGCTATTTTATAACACTATTATTTGCTTATGTCATGTCAAAACATTTACAGAGTAAACTGTCATAATGAAAACATGACAAAGCCGTTTGACTATCTTGTTCATAAACACTGGTGTCAGTAAATTGTAAATGTTGCTAGCATCACGTTACCAATTCTAACCATCTGACAAACACCAAACTGTTATCTATCAAATCCATCCATCCATCTCTTTAATCCATCATGTCCAGCTCAGATGTTCAGACTCACTGTTTTGGACGATGTCCTGCATCTTCTTCCAGACTCTAAACGGCAGGTTGCCCAAGTATCGAGGCACATGAATCAAAGCTCCAGAAGCCATCTGTGGATCCGGCCGTGAGCTCTGGACTCTGGAAGAACATTCAGGAGTCAGAACTGCAGTGGCTTTGGATCAGAACCAGAGAGACCAGAGACAGGAGCAGATCACTCACCTTTCCATTGAGACTGGAAACTCCTGCAGAACAAACACACCATTATCATCAAGAACTCAATCAATCAACCAATGATCAACCAATGATCTGAAATCAGACCTTCAGAAAGCAGACGTCACTGGCTTTCATCATCTCCTCCATGTCTTTGAGTGTGTGTGAAAGAGCTGAGATGTGTGTGTTCATCTCCTCCAGCTTCTCCTTCATCATCTGCTTCTTCTGCTCCTCTTCCTCCCTCAGTGCAGTGACTGTAGCTTCTTCTTCATCTCTGAGAAACTGATGAAGCGTCTCAAACTGCTGTTTAATCTGACGCTCTGTGTGCTCAGCTTGAGCCTGAAATCACATCACATTCACTTCAATCATCTCAATCCACACTTTACATCATTAATATCCAGGATAAACTCCCATACCCGACATAAAACTGATCCAGAAGCAGATTGCTGCTCGTCATTTACAGAAATAATCAACTGGAATCCATTATATCAAATCATAACTGTATATAGTGTCCAACAGCTGGAATGAAAATGACTCTCGTTTCTGTTTCCTCACCTTGATGTGTTGAACTGTTTTCTCAAACTCTGCTTTCATTGTTGTATTGTGTTTCAGTTTCTCCTGTAAGGACTTCAGTGCTGTATTGAACTCCTCCTGGAATTGAACAAAAATACATAAAACACCAGATTACAGTGAAGAGAAGAAAATACAGTGATATGATCAAAAAATGCAGTGAAAAAGTATTTGCCCCCATCCTGATTTATTTCTTCTTTTTTTGTGAACATCTCATACTAAATTGATTCAGAAATTAAAACCTGAGTAAACACAAAGTGCAGTTTGTAAATGATAATGTTATTTATTGAAACAAAAAAAGTTATCCAATACCAACTAGGGCTGGCGTTAAAATGTATTTTCCCCGTAGTTACTAATTCCTCAAATGTATAATGTAGTTCAGCTGGTCTAAACACATCCGGTCCTGATCACTGCGGCCCTGTCCAATCAAATCAACACTGAATACTAAAGCCTGATTGGTTCACGTTTGTGCACCTGAACAGACAAATGGATTTTCACCCATTAAAAGAGACGAGCCGACTGCATATTTAAGTCTGACAGGAGAGACCATCGCTGCTCATCTCTGCCCGCCCACGGCCCTAAACCATGCAGAACTAGATCGGCCTCACGGACAGAGAGTTCAGAGAGAGTGTGCAGCGAATGGTGAAGCTGGATCTGCCCCTCATACAATGGCGTTTCTTCAAGTCTACCAGGTCAAGCTTCTCTGCACTGTGGATAAAACTGGTCTTGACCCGCAGCCTTCAGAGAGCTGTGCACCGCGACCGACCTCGCCCTGCGTGCCACTAAGTCTACGGCCCAAGCGATTGGTCGTGCCATGGCCAGTTTGGTGGACCACCTTTGGCTGAATGACTGGTAATGGCATGGAGACTAGGGTTGAGTTAGGTAGAGGTACTGGAATGGTAGGTAGAGGGAAAACTCTGGTTATTTGGTTGTAGAGGCCAGTTTGGTGTTCCTCGAGCGCCACCTTTGGCCGAACCTGAAGGAGATTAAGGACTCCGACAAGACAGCCCTCCTTGACTCCCGTCTCTCCCTCGGGTCTGTTCGGGTCTGCAGTGGACGGAAGCGCTGAGTGTTTTACAGCGGCCCAGAAGTCGTCACAGACGATGCGCCACTTCAGTTAAAAACAAACACCTTCACAAAAAGAGCATTCCTCCTCTTCATTATCCAATCGCAAGCATCAGCCCCCCACCACAGTTTCCACTCTTGAACCGCAGGCTTGGGAAGCTTTTACCGGCGTGTCAGATTGGGTTTTAGAAACAATCAAACAGAGTTACTCACTCCAGGTCTCTCTAGGCTCTCCTGCCTCAGGGGTGATCAACACTTCAGTCCCGGACATCGGCGCTCGCGTCCTCCGAGCTGAAGTACAAGCTCTGCTAGTGAAGAGCGCTGGAGGAAGTTCCTGCGGCCCACAGCGACTCAGGCTTTTACAGCCGCTTCTTCCTCGATCCAAAGAAGTTTGGCCTCAGGCTCATCCTCCATTAGAGATGCTGAACAGCGCTCTAATAATACACTAACTTTGAAACAAATCCTCTCACAGATCTGATTGGTTTACATCAGTGGATCTGGAAGACGCATACTTTCATATCCAGATAGCTCCTCATCACAGTTCTTGAGATTCATGTTGGAAATGGTGGGTTACCAAAATAATACAGTCCTACCATTCGGACGGTCTCTTACTCTGCAGACTATTATGAAATGTGTGGATGTGGCCCTCTTCCCCCTGAGACAGATGGGAGTTCACCTCCTGAATTACCTCAATGATTGCTCAACTATGCACACACAGATCTTTGCTCATCAGGACAGAGGTTACGTTAGTGACCGGAACGATCTGTGTTTATCACGGACTCATCGTGTTTCTTTACATGTGAATCAAGAAAAATTTGTCTTACCTTATATGATGAAACCACTTCACTGATGGGTCTGAATTTATGATTGTCATGTTGTTTTGAATCTCTGCACACTAAACACACAGGCTGTTTATCCTCCAGACAGAAGAGCTTGAGTTTCTCACTGTGTAAACTGCAGATCTCCTCAGACCCTGATGAACGCCTCTCATTTCTCTCCTTCAGGAACGACTCACACAAGTTTCTTAATGCAAGATTCACTGGAGGATCAGATGTTGAGATCCTCTTGCAGACAGGACACTCCTGAGATGTCTTGGATCTCCAGAACTGTTGAAGACACTCTTTACAGAAACTGTGACTACAGGATAAAAGAACAGGAGTCTTGAAGATATCACAGCACACAGGACAAATATAATCATATTCAGCTGCTGAAGCCATTCTCACTGTTTGAGCTCCAGCAATCTAAACTTTACTTTCACTTTCTGAACGACGGTTTTAAAAATGAATCACCATGAGAATCACAAAGATCAGAATCAAACTTGTTCAGGAAGAAACTTCTCAAATTCTTCTGTAAAGTTTTTCTCTTCGTACTCCACTGATCGCTGATTCTTTATTGCTTTTGTCGAGACAAAGTCAGTATGGCAGAAAAGAGAAATAATAAGTCCGTCTCTTCCTGGTCAGTGTTGTGAGAGGGATCATCTGATCAAGGTGTGTTGAAACAGGTCAAACAACTTCTTCAGGATTTTTTCATGTAAAATGAACTTGCATTGAAACGTTAAGATATAATGCTATAAAGCCTTGACTAAAGCACAAAAGAACAATGAAAATACTCAAATATTAAAAAAAAAATATGTGTTTCTTTTATTGTTCATTATTGCGGGGTAGCCTGGTTAAAACCAGACCATTCTCAGTTGTAACCGAGTTATGGTCTTGAAAAGCGTCATAGACAAATCATTTCCAGTGGGGTGTCACCAACGGACGTCGCGGATAGACCTAAAACCAATTAGAGGTGAAGGAGATGACGTTTGCAGTGCGGCTCCGAGTGTTGTTCTTTGCTCGGTTTTTAACAAAAAGTAAAAGTTCAATTCGCTTAAAACAGACGCGATGGCTGATTCAAACGAGTGATGTTCGACGGCGGCGTCCATCTTTGTAATGTAGGCTACAAAATATGCTTCAAAATCCCAGCGCTATCATCATCGGGTAAAGCCCGCCCCAACGTTTCTGATTGGTGCCTCGATTTTGACGGATAGGAAATGGGCTTGGATGAGCTCTTTGCCAGACTAACTTTCAGAGGAAATCTAAATTTGCCGGAAGTTGTCTGGGTTTTCCCAGGCTAGAGGCGGGGCATTTTCACACCTGAAAGTCCACACCAAGGTCCAAAAAAAGGTCATGATACATTTTATCCTTTCAGAAAGTTTTGGTTTGGTTTCACACTGCAATTATGAGAGCGCACTGAAGAACTTTACGCGACACACTTGTGTCCCGTCCTCATCATCTATGTGGGGTGGATCTCAACACTGATTGGTTTAGTAAATGGACGTGCGTCTGACGTCAGCGGGTTTGTCGATTCGGCGGGTAACTTTGACAACATGAATGAACAGACCCATATCTCCCATCCTCTCATACCCTCGCTCTCTCATCTTCTTCGAAAATATTTGGAAAGTGTCTGCATTTTTATGTGTTTTTTCCAGTTGACCTCATTTTCCTGCCACCTTCTGGTTATTCCATAGACAGTAAAGGTATGAATGTCTGAACCAGACAAATGCTTTCACACTAGAAACAATCCAAACCTTTGTTCAGTTTGATCCGGACTGAGACTAAGGGCGTTTTCACACCTGAATGTCCGCACCAAGGTCCGAACCAAAGTTCACGTTTTGATGCATTTTATCCTTTCAGAAAGTTTTGGTTTGGTTTCACACTGCAATTATGCGAGCACACTGAAGAACTATACGCGACACACTTGCGTCCTGTCGTCAACATCTATGTGGGCTGCATCTCGACACTGATTGGTTTAGTAAATGGACGTGCGTCTGACGTCAGCGGGTTTTCAGTTCGGCGGGTAACTTTGACAACAAGATTGTTGCGACTATATTGTTATTTTTATAGCATAATAACCTACAGCACCAACTATACACAAGGCTAGTTCAAATTCGTCAACTGAACGTCCTCGTCGTGCCAACATTTTATCGTCGCCGGCAGAAAAGGAGGAGAAGACTGCAAGGTGACTTCTTATTATGTCACCAGACCGTACTTCTATTATAAACCTCGTCTCCTCATCTCCTCGTGTGCTACCACGGCTCATTTCTCCTGCCACCTTCTGTTTTTTTGGCTTTTTGGGAACCACCAGAACTCCCTGTAAATGGTCTGAAAGTCCGAACCATACATAAATGCTTTCACACTAGAAACGAACCAAACCTTTGTTCAGTTTGATCCGGACCGAGACTACCTCTTTTCGTCCAACCAAATTTCACCTTTTTGGTCCGGACCGTGGTCCAAGGGAGGTTTCACATCTCCAATTTTGATTTGGACTAAACTGAAAAGTCTGAAAGTCCGGACCAAACAAGGTATGTTTTTTTTAGATCGGCTGTACCCAAAACCTTCTTTTCCGTCTTTTAAAGAAAATGAAAAGCTCGTCTTCACTGGATGATGATGATGATGAAGTGTCCAGGTTTTCTCAGCTGTTGGCGTGAAGGTTTTGGACTGTTGAAACTCTGAACGTCGTAAATTTGCGTTGCGGCTGATGTGAATGCTTGAACCTTTCGCTTTTTCGTTACGCGTACGGTGTGAAAGGGCCTTAACTCCTGTAGTGGCAGAGGGAGTCGATCGATAGCACACGAGAGCTAACAGAGGATCCGCGCATGCCCAGGGAACTCATGAATATTCATGTAGGCTCCGCCCACTGCCTCTACAGATGCACAACTCACTTCTGCTCCACGTTTCATAGAGCAAAAGGAAGAGCGCGCAAAACTTGTCACTTGACATCGAAAAACAGTGTGTGAGATTGGTCGCAGCAGATTCAAGAAGCTGGAGTTATGTACTTGTGTTTGTGCTAGAAAAATATACAAGACATTTGTGAGAGAATATTCTACAAGTGTGCAACTCTCATTGGATGAATTCACATACAGAACTGCAGATGAGCAACATTTCTCCGTAACTTGTCATGTTTTGATGCGGGTGTGTCAATGCCTTTTGCACATATTCACTGCAGCAACTGTAGCAAAAATGTGAGCGTACCAGTTTCTTAATGTTTGGTTTGTAGAACAGGATTTGTGCAACTGCAATGAAGAATTAGAGAAGGTGAAACTGTTGTGGTGTGTTTATGGAAGATAAAAAAGTCTACAAGTTTGCAACTCTTAAAACGTTTCTCTCTGACTTCAGATTTACTGATACACATGTGTGGATATTCTCGACAACTACAAATTTCACCCTCACAGGCTTTCAGTTGTTTTGCACCAAATGTACCTTCATAATGTATGTATTTATGTGTGTGTGTGTGTGTGTGTGTGCAGAGTGAGCTGTGAGTTCGCTCTCTGCTAATGTGTTGTGGGTGGCGGACTCACACACCCCACACTCAAAACGGCCAGTAGAAAAGCAATCCACTTTATTCCTACACCCCATAATGCTTTGCGCGAATTATGGGTGTAACTTCCATTAAGCTGTAAACAATCAGTGGAAGGCTCGCTCTATGAACGCAATACGCTAAAAAAGTGTCACAATGAGATGACATTAATCGACTCACCTTTCAACCAATCGGACATTAAAATTCAAACTCAAAGTCATTTTTGCAAGGCATGGCATCCCAGAGAAATTTGTCTTGCTACCACTAACTTACGACCAGATACTGTTTTGTGGTCTGGATCAGCACGCATTGTTCAGCTGATAGAATTAACAGTGCCATGGGATTATGCAGTAGATGAGGCGTATGAGAGGAAGAAATTGCGGTATGCTCATCTGGCCACTGAAGCAGAACAGCGAGGATGGAGAGTCCAGGTTTATCCAGTGGAAGTGGGCTGTCGAGGTTTTGTGGCACACTCTATAACCCGGTTCCTCAGAGACGTCGGATTCAGTGGCCAAGAGTTGCGTTGCACAGTAAAGAGCTTATCTGAAGCAGCAGAGAGGAGCCGTAACTGGCCGTGGTTGAGACAAAAGATTCTAGCTGGCTAAGTGCAGGCTGCCACGCTACGGTTTCGTAGAATACTTGAAGAGTCTGTTTGTATAGGTTGCACTGAAATTACAGTCATTACGTTCCTGTGTATATTGTTTGATTGACGATGGTTGGCCAGATATTGTGTTTTGCGGTAGGTGGTATGCCATACGGAAGCGTTGCCACTGAAACTGCATTATAACGCACCAGTGGGGCTCGACAGCCTTAGTCAAACGGGTTGGCGCGTATGGTTGGGTTGCGCGAGATTGTGGTTAGGTCTCAGCAGCAGGAGGGATGTAGAGGTCAGTAAGCTGGGCTGAGTTGAGTGGGGGACGGAGGGGGGTGACTCAGAGTCACTGTCGAGCCCTCTTGAGGTGTCATGGGCTAGACAACGAAACACTAAGGACGGAAGGTGCCCACTTGAAGACCCTAGAGATGTCCCCTACTCGGCTCAATCCAGACGGTTGTCGTGTTGGTCCTCTAGGGAGACCAGATGGAGACTCACACCACCATATGGAAAGAAGCGTAAATGGATGGAGAAGCATAGTTTACTGTAAAGCTACGTCTTAGTTTTGCTTTCCTTGGCGAAAGCCAAGCATAAATCAGCATGAAGTTTTAACATCTACTCTCGTGTAATGAAGATCATGTCTCTGACAATGGTCCACAATATCGGGCCAAGGACTTTGAAGACTTTGCAAAGACATGAGGTTTCATGCACACCACCAAAAGCCCTCATAACCCCCAGAGCAATGGTTTGGCTGAGAAGACTAAACAGATCATAAAATCAATATTGACAAAAGCCAAGATGGACGGTAAAGATGCAATAGACCTGTTGACAACTTTAAGTCACCTGCCCAACTTCTTATGAGTTGTAGACTAACACCATTAAGCAGGTCCTACCTGAAATTGTCAGTTTTCATTGTCAGCATCATCAGAAAAAGTATTACGATCGCTCGACTCGTCTACTGTCACAACTTTAACCTGGAGAAGGTGTTCGCATTCAAGAGCATGGTCTTTGGAAACTAGCTGTTATTGTACACCCTGCCAATACATCATCATCATCTTCTCAGCACATAAGAGGAGCCTGTGGAAAACACCTGCGTTTCTGCAAACCTAGAGGAAGAGCAAAACAGCACGGCCACATCAACGCTTCAGGCACACACTGAAGTACCAACACAACATTCAAATGACAGAGAGATCCAGCCCATACAATACCGTACCAGATCAGGTCGAGCAGTGCGACCCAGATCAATCCTTGATTTGTGATTGGTAATTCGTCTGGGGTGTAGGCGGATCGCTGCCCCCGTGAGAGGAATGGAATAAAAGAGTTGGTACGGTATGGACTGTGAGAGAATAATGGACGTTTTGTTCATAAGTACTGTTGGATAGTGTGTGATACAGTGTCGGAGGTGTCTAGATGTTTTGTGAAATGCAGCAACCTCTGTGTTTAAGTTGGAGTAATGTTTCAGTGACTTGAGTATGTTGACAAAATAAAGGGGATGTAAATATTGTGGTAAGCACTGAATATTTGCGACACTGATTTACGGCGCCACTAAAATGGTTCTGGGAATTATGGGCGTTACAGTACATGGAGATGGATGCACGTTAAGGTATAAAGGTTTCAAGGTTGTTCGGTACTCACTGTACGTCTCCTTATTTACGACTGCACGCACAAGACAAACATGGTACTTTAAATAGACAAAAAATAGCCCCAAAAGCGCGAGTCTTTGGTTAAATCACTGTAGTAGGCAAATATATATATATATATATATATATATATATATATATATATATATATTTATTTATTTATTGTATAACAAAGCCTTTATCAAAAATGTTCATCAACTTCAGCATTAGGCCACGTGACACTATATCAAGTTATTTGGTAGAATACGGTTCCTTCTTTAATGAATAACTACACACGAACTAATGAGTAACACAATATTAACAATCTAGTAACTATTATTAACTAACAAGAAACTCTGATTAACGAACTAGTAAGTAATAGCGCACAGACGAAAGTGATAGTTCACTATTAACTAACAATAACTGCTATTTTTTAATACTTCCCAGAGAACTACTGAAAAAGTTATTAACAATCTAGTAACTACTATTAACTAAAAGAATTTTAGTTATTAAGGAATTATTAACTTATTAAGGAATTAGTAAGTAATAGCTCAAAGATGAAAGTGTTACTAGATACTTCTGTGGGAATTACTAATTATTTGGATCCGTATTATAAAGTGAAGATTATTGGAACTAAATAGTAATGACTCAAGTGTTACTACATGATCTAGTCATGATTTGTGCAAACCTTTGAGATTTTTGGTGAACTTTAGTATACTTTAAGAAAATGTCTCATTACTAGTTAGTTCCAATGATCATCACTTTATTATACGAATCCAAATAATTAGTAATTCCCACAGAAGTGTCTAGTAACACTTTCATCTGTCTGGTTTCAAACCGTATCAGCGCTCATAGAGATAATAAATTATACAGTACAGTACAGTAGGTTACTCAGAACCAGGCAAAATATCAGAGCTGGGTTTGACACTGTCGATCGCAACACACTAGGCCGAGCTTTCTGGGATGGTCCTCAAATGGTCCTGGTCATACTAAAGTGAGAGATTATTACCGGTATGTGAGTGCAGGTGACCATAGTCTGAATGGACATTTATTTCATTCTGTTCGTCACGGGATAACTAACTGAAGGTGATCTGCTCTTCAGCGCCTCCTGGTGTGTGTGAGGAGTAATAATACACGGATGACTCTCGCGCCCCCCTGCGGACACTGCGGGAACTGCTCTGAAGCTGTGGTTCATATAATGCGAAACTAAGGGATTAAAAAATAGCCCACAGCATCCTTACTGTAAGCATAGTAAAGAAATACACATTTTTACAGATACATTTTATAAACAGCAATATACTGCATAACTTAAAGATTAAGATTGTATCTTATTACAATCAGAAAATAAACGGAGCAGTGTCTTCCTCAGGCTTACAGAATACGTAGCTATAAATTGAAAACATAAGCAAAAGGAGCGATTTGGGAGCTAGTTGGGTAGATATATGCAGATATCCTAAAACATTGTTCACTTTCACCGTGAATATCGGCACACAATAAAAGAGGATGTGGAAACTAAATTATGTAGGAATTACAAAACACATTTTATTAATAATTTATTTTCTTTAGCAAGAAAGTCAAAACTCTCTTCTTTTCAGTTATTTTTTAAAATTATATGCTTGAAGAAAAAACAACAACATTATAAAAACAACAATCCAGTCCAAACGCTCTTCTATATTTTTGTCAATCACGTTACAAATAATAAACGTGACAATTGTCCAACACATAGAATACAAATTTGAACAAATATAGACAACAAATAGTAAAGTCCAAACTCTCTTCCCTGGTGGCAAAAACAGACAGCAAAAAACCGTGCGTCTGACGTCATCGACGCCTCAACTGTGGTCGCCGGGTGATGACGCGTTTAGAGATCGCCATCATAAAGTTGCAGCACATTGCTAAAGGCAGACACGAGTGACATGAGCTCTTAAGCGACATTATTCATGTGTTTATAACAGTCCGCGACGCGTTTCTTGTGTTCGTGAGGCGATTCCGAGCCGTTCGCGAGTCTGAGGCGGTGTGTGCGCGCGCGCTGAAGGTGAGTCTTCCCGCGCCGAAACACGTTATAAACACTGTTTACCTCAGTGTTGTGTTCACTTCATATGTCAGATCGGTGTGTGTGTGGGATACACGCGCTCTCGCTCAGGAAAGACCAGGTTTTTATATACTTTATATATTTATATACCCTGGATACGCGGAACTAGCTGTTTCTGTAGCGACTGAGCCGGTAATGTGGCGTTCAGGTTATAATAGCAGGTGTTTCTGCTGGACTCAAGTTCAACTGACACACACACACGTGATGGACACATGTATTGATATTTTCATCTATTGATGTATTCAGCTTTATCACAGGCTCAGCGATATTAGTGGCAACCCTGGCTAAGAAACTCTTGATTAAACATAATTCTTATTAACGTTAGTTGTTCTATTACATTCAGGATGCTGTTGGCCTCGATGACCTCACTGTTGATTAACTTTTCAAGTTTTACTCATTTACAGTCAAACCAACATTTATTCAGAAATCTTCAACATTTCTCACATTATCTCAGTTTATTCGCTAGTTTATAAATATGACAGAACTCAGTTCTCAGATCAGTGGATATTTGACTGGTTTTGTCCGTCTGTTGGACTCTCACAGATGTTGAATATCTGTTAAATTTAACTCCACAATTAGATAATACCAGTTTAGCTCAACCAGTGACCAAGCAATGCTTCATGTTGTTCAGTGTGTGTGTAAAAATAGCATTAGTAATTACAGAAAACACACTTCAGCTCAAAGTGGAGGAATCATTTCTGGTCCTGAATGTTTATAAATGTTACCAGTAGTCTCTTTATGAAGAATATTTTGGTGTAATATGTCAGTTTAGTTTATTTTGCTCTCCTCACTCACAGAAATGATCTATAGTTTCCTGATCACACTAGCGAAAACATATCTAAAATGATATCTCGATGTCTGGATAATGTTTGGTTTGACTGTATGAGGGAACGGCTTCTCCAATGGGAACTTGTGTGGGGCGGGGCTTAGATTAGTCCAGTGAGATTTGATTGGCTTGTCATGAGCAGGGATTTTGCTATGCTTAATATGATCAAATATTCAAGCTATGACAAATATGTGGTTGGTGCATGATTAGTTGATGCGTCCCTAGTTTATACACTATATAAAGACCCTTTAAGTCCTCCTGTGGTGTAAATTCAGCGTTTAATGTTGTTTATGTGTGTATGTGGTGTTTTTAATATGCGTTAAGACAGTCTCAAACACACGGTTTGAAATCGCTGGTGTTTCTGACATCACAAACGGACTTGTAACTAATCAGATCTCTCTCTGTGTGTGTGTGTGTCAGGGCTGATGGCGTCTGGTGACGGAGGGGGTGTGGACTCGAAGGCGGAGCTCAGTGCTTTACTGGAGCAGTGGGAGAGAGAGCAGCAAGCGGGATCCGGCGAACTCCTCAACATACTGACCAAGTGAGTCTCGCCTGAGACCACAGTAGGGCGGCGCGGTCATGCACAAGATGATGAGCTCCTTTATTATGATCCATCACGATTAATTATTACGATTATTTGTTGATTTAAACCAAAACTAAAGTTATTGTCACATAGGCTAGTTATACCTGCTTTCTCCTCCATCATGGGCTATTCCTGCTAATGTACAGATTTGTGCATCAAAACAAAATAGTTGTTTACAATAAAATTCAGTTACAATAAAAATGTAGCAAAACGTCAACAGGACTCTACTTTCCCTTTTACATCGTGTAAATATATTTTAAGAAGCAAACTATGAACTTGCAGTGTACCTGCATATAATGGATGTGAAAAACTCAAAATATAGACCATTTCACAAGATGTAAACAACACTGGTCCAGAAGCACTTCCTGTTTCGGTTTGTAACTGTTTTCTTTATTTCACATGTAAAGAAAACATCTTAAAGATGTTTGTTTAACTTTTTGATTCAGTTTTAAATGTTCTGTTGGTTGTATTTTATCCCAGCTTTTATGTAGTGTTAAAAAACTGAAACAGGAAGTGCTTCTGGGCCAGTGTTGTTTACATCTCGTGAAATGGTCTATACAGTTTCGTAACAGGATGTAAACAAATGGGAACATGTCAAGGCTGTGCACTGTGGAAGATCGATTAATGCATCTCTCTCACACACTCAGTCTCGCTCACGCAGTTCGCGCTGCTTTTGCGCGGTGTAGGGAACCACTCTGATTGGCTCATGGAGTCACGTGATCAGACACTGGCTTACGGAGCGCTAGATTAGCTTTCTACGGCGCGTTCTGTGAACAGAGTGACGCATTTTAAATATCGCTCGCTCATGCAAGTTTGATCATGATAAAATTGTAATTAATTATGCAGCTCTAGACTATAACTATAACTTTACAGAGACTCTTCTAGATGAAACCGCAGATCCACAACTATATACGATAACCGCACACAGAAACCATGTGACCCTGGACCACAAAACCATGGGTCAATTTCCTGAAATTGAGATTTAAGGCCTGTTCACAGTTCACACCAACGCTTCATGTCTAAACAGAAACGCCACACGTAAAAGCATCATTTTTTTTTAAAATGCCTCGGGGTTTTTTTTGTTTATTGGCGTCAAAACCTATTCGACCAATGAGATTTGCGCTTTTGTCTGGAGCTGCTAAAGTTACAGTAAAACACAACTTGGGGGCGCTCAAACACAAAAGAGTCTTGCCGAGCACACACACGTAACAGCGAAGAAGATATACGCCGAGTAGAAGAAGATATACGCTGAGGAGTGTTATAATAAAATATTAGACTTTGTACACTTTTGTGACCGAAGCACTCTTTTGGACTCTTATTTATATATGTAGAAGCAAGTGAAATAACAGAAATTACAGTATTGAAAAAAGTGATAATAGTCAAAAACAGTAATAAACAAATTTCGGTTCTGTATATCGTTTATTATAGAACATGCAAATAATCAGTATCGGTTATAATAAAACAATATCTGAACCGCACAAACCGAGATCTGAGACATCGAGAGTAAAGACGGATTAACGTGAGCGTATCTAATTAAAGCTAGCGTTCACCCAAACATTGTTTAAATAAATTAATTTGCATTTGCTCATGTCGTTCCAATCCTGTAAGACTTTGTTTCATTTTTGAAACACAATTGTATTTAAACTAAATTTGTTAAATTATAAATGCAATGAAATTTAACCTCAAAATGTGACGTCTAACCTTAAAATGTATGATTTAATTTAAATACTTTCAAAAATAATTCATGCAGTTTTATATTATTAATTTTAAAGAATTAACAAGAATCAACATCACTATCCATGTTCAGCCGGCCGAGGCTGATGTAGAAGGGATTTGCTGAAATGTAATGTAATACTTTTAGAGTAATTAGTACAGAAATCACACCATGACGATATATTTCATAGCTAATAATTAATGAGTTTTTTAGAGTAACTCCATGTTTCGTAATGTGCAGCCCAACACATTAATGTTTAACCAGGACTGACGTTCACAGACACTGGGCTGGCTAAAGCATGCATTTCTTCTGGGTAATGTCAAGGAAACAATAATGTGCATTTTAATGAATTATCCATGTCATGAACTCCTGTTAAATATGCTTTTAATTGTTCAATTACTAATCGAGTAAGAGACAACGAATGTATTCCTCAATGGCACGCCAGTATTACTGTGGTCATGTGACTGATGTGGATCTGCAGGATCTCGGATCTGGTGGAGCGGGAGACGGAGGCGTATCACAAGGCGGATCCGGACCCGTTCGATGACCGCCATCCAGGTGCGCTCCCGCTTATTAATATCATCAGCATTAATATGTGGAAAACGTGTGGGTGGGTGTGTGTATATTTGATATATTAAATCTGCATATTGTAATATCTGCACTTTTTAAAGCACCCCCCCCCCATCTTATTAAATATATGCTTCATCTTTGATCACTAAATTCAATTATTTAGATTAAAGAGAATTATTTAGAAAACATCCTCTTGTCTAATGTGGAGCCCTGCGTCCAGGACTGTAACACTGACTTCCTGTTTTGCTCTAGGACGGGCAGATCCAGAGTGCATGCTGGGACACCTGTTGAAAATCCTGTTCAAGAACGATGATTTCATGAATGCGGTGAGACTGGATTTATAATCACAAGCACATCGTTAATTGAACTGAGACACAGCATCATTCACTATACACGTTACATTTAATTAATATTGGTAATACAATGTAGTTTAAAAATGATAGTGACTGATTGCATACAAAGTTTCAATCAAAATACACATTTTATTTATTTTTTCAGATGTTTTAAGTATTGTTTGAGAGCTTTAATCAGTCTGATTTAGAAGCATTTCTTTGTACACACATTTTCATCAGAGTTTTTCTTTCTTCTACAAAGATGTTTTGTTTGTTCTGCACAACTCTGATAAAGATGTAAAGGGACAATATTTTTTGATAAACTCATTAATTCTTCTAGCTAATTTTTTTTTTACACAAATGTAAAGTTGTGTTGTAAGGAACTTTAATCCTATCTGGACTCTCTCCATCCACAGCCCTTTAAACACTCTTGCTGTGTGATTTGTGTGATATTTTCCTGATATTGTATCCTGTAATTGCACTTTTAACTGTATTCCCGCTGGCATTGATCATGTGTAGCCGCGTTTCCACCAGGAGTGATGAACTGTGTGCTGTTACTCGTGTGTTTACACCGCCGGTCCTGGGTCCTGCTCACGAGACGGATTACATCTCAGTTCAGGAACTGTCAGAGGCGGGACTCCGGCGCTGAACGTGCTGATTGGTTGATTTCATGCTGCATTTTGATTGGTTGACTGCACACAGCATTTTATTTCATCCGCCGTCTGTTTATAGTGCGGCAACAGTCGTTTACTATTCGAATCAACAAAGATTTTAAAACATGATACAACAAGGTTCAGGCTTTATGGAAAGGCTCCTGGTGATCTCGGTGGAAACGCGGCCTATGTTCTCAGCAAAGCTGAATGTGTGTGTGTTCTGATGTTGAGTTGTGCGCCTCCAGCTGGTGAACACGTACGTGATGAGCAGTCGAGAGGTGCCGCTGAACACCGCGGCCTGCAGACTCCTGCTGAACATCATGCCGGGCCTCGAGACCGCTGTGGTCTTCCAGGAGAAGGTACCGCCTCACACACACTCGTCTGATTCACCATCACATCTACAGCTGGACACACACATGGGTCTCGCAAAACGGATATTAAGCCGATCTTCCATTCCCACGCGATATACAGATTTAAAGGGATAGTGCACCCAAAAATGTCAGTAATCACACTCCCTCATGTCGATTATCAAGCGGCGAGAATATTCAACAAAAAAAAAAAAAGACTTTATACAACTCCTCTTCATCTTCTTCTGTTCACGTAGTGTAACTGTGTTCAGAACGTAGGTTTACTATTGGCCAGCATCACACTCGTGACCAATGTCAGCCAATAGTATTCTCGCCGCTTAAGATTGAGCCGCTGTAGTCACTCGGACTATTTTAATGATGTCTTTAATAACTTTCGATCCCTCTGAAGCCTATAGAGGAGTGATCCAGCTCTCAGATGTAATCACAGATATATTAATGTGTGTCCCAAACGTGAACGACAGTCTTACGGTGTTGAACAACATGAGCGAGAGTCATTACTGACAGAGTTTATATTCCCTTTAATGGAGTTCACGTCACCGAAAGCAACAGATATGAGCTGGATTTCATTGATTAAAACCAAACACCGCCATAGGAGAGAGCGCAATAAGATCATTCTTTACTTTTAATGAAGATTACGAATGCAATAGAGCCAGACCGATATATCGGCCGATATTAGGCATTTTCCAAACTATCGTACCGGCAGTTATAATGGCCGATAAATGAATATTTCAAAAATAAAATAAAAACGGACGAAACACGCTTCAATCATCTCTCCTTGGCCTGTTATATTGAAAATGTATGTTTTACAATCTGCTGTATGACGTAATCCATTGCTAAATTATGGTTCATCATAGACTAACCATAAAACTAGCTAATGCCACTATTATCAGTCTGTTCTGTTGTGACGATAAAAGAAACTTTTAGAAAGTTTCTATTTAAAATGCATTATCATATTATTTTGGTTAAAACTCTACAAATAACTAATGTTAGGGAAATCTGTTAATGTTTTGTTGCGCCTTTCTGAAAAAACAAAACAAAAAAAAGCATATCGGATTTTAAAACCTAAAAATATTTGTATGGGTATCGGCCTTCAAAATCCTTTATCGGTCGGGCTCTAGAATGTAAAGCGTCTGCGACTCACTTTCACTTTGATTTGCGATAGTTAAGCGATAGATGCTCATCTGTGGTGTCATCTGGCTGTAACCTGACGTGTAGCTTATAACACGCGCTCACATGTTTAGTTTTAGCGTTGTTGGGAAGGAGGAAAGTTTACATACGTGGTTTCAGCAACCAGATGCATTTAGTTTCATCTGTGATATCCTCCTGATCGGTTCATGTCTCGAATGCGCTTCGGAGGGCATTTATATGATCATACCACAGAACAGACCAGCTGTAACCAGCCCTGCAGCTTCTGCTTCCTCGAGTCTGCATGCGGATTATAAGTGTGTGTGTGTGTGTGACAGGACGGTATTGTGGAGCGCTTGTTTAAATGGGCCCAGGAGGCGGATCAGCCGCTCCGGATCTACGCCACAGGCCTGCTAGCCGGAGCCATGGAGAACCAGGACATCGCCGCCAACTATCGCGAGGAGAACTCTGTGCTGGTGAGGCCAGGAGGACATGACCTTTCATTTATAGAGTGCCTTTAGGGTGCGTCACGATAACAGTGGAGAAGAAAATAATACATGTACAATAGACAATCCCCAGTCCAAGAAGAGAGCGAGTGCATCAAATACAAACAGAAACAACTGTGTATTAATTTGATAAAAATACAACAAAAACACTGTAATATTGTTTTGACGGTTTCAAATAAGTGTTTTCTCTGTGAATATACAGTAAAGTGTAATTTATTCCTGTGATAAAGCTGAATTTATCATCATTACTCCAGTCTTCAGTGTCACATGACCCTTCAGAAATCACTCTAATATGAGGATCTGAAATACTTTTATTCATCAAGGATGCGCTAAATTGACCAAAAGTGACAATCTTTTGTAACGTTATTATTGTCTCTACTGTCATTTTGGTCAATTTAGTGCATCCTTGATGAATAAAAGTATTTATTTCTTCAGATCCTCATATTAGAGTGATTTCTGAAGGATCATGTGACACTGAAGACTGGAGTAATGATGATAAATTCAGCTTTGAAGGAGTAGTTCACTTTAAAAAAACATTTGCTGATAATTTACTCGCCCCCATGTCATCAATATGTCCATGTCTTTCTTTCTTCAGTCGAAAAGAAATTAAGGTTTTTGATGAAAACATTCCAGGATTTTCTCCATATAATGGACTTCAATGGGGTTCAAGGTCCAAAAGACAGTTTCAGTGCAAACTGTTCAAAGGGCTTTAAACGATTCCAGACGATGAAGTCATTTGGTTCATTCAATGAACGAAATGAACGAATTGACTCAGGAAAAGATTCATTCATTTTGATGAACGAGTTCGAACAGGAGAGTCACGAACGCGCATCACAGAACAGAGCAAGGCGAGCATTCGAGCTTTATAAAACTTAAACTTTGTTATTTATTTATTAAATGAGCGATCGTTTCGCTTGATAAGACCCTTATTCATCGTCTGGTGTCGTTTAAAGCCCTTTGAACAGTTTGCACTGAAACTCTCATTTGGACCTTGAACCGTTTGGACCCCATTGAAGTCCATTATATGGAGAAAATCCTGGAATGTTTTCATCAAAAACCAAAATTTCTTTTCGACTGAAGAAAGAAAGACATGGACATCTTGGATGACACGGGGGTGAGGAAATTATCAGCAAAAGTTTTTTCAAAAGTGAACTACTCCTTTAATCACAGGAATAAATTACATTTTAAATGGTTATTTTAAATTGTAATATCATTTCACAATATTACTGTTTTTTTGTATTTTTAATTAAATATATGCAGTCTTGGTGAGCAGAAGAGACTGATTTTAAAACATTAAAAATCTTACAGATCCCAAACTTTTGAATGACAATGTGTATGTAACACAAGGGTCCCTGTGAATCAAATTTAAGGTCATATAAAGATGTCTTTGCAGGCGGAAGTTACTCAGATTGAAGATTATCAGGAACAGTGAGTGCTATTCACAACCTCACCACTAGATGCTGTTAAAACTTACACACTGCACCTTTAAAGATCAAAGCAATGATGTGCACAGTTGAGGGATGTGTGTGTTATATATTGTGACTCGGCGTGTTTGTGTGCAGGTTCCTCTCATGCTGCAGAGACTGAGGGAGCTTCAGGACAAGGAGTCGGAGAGCCGGAGAGACGGCAAGCGTCCGAGCAAGAGTCCGGCTCCTCTGCTCCCGCTGGACGAGGAGACGGTGGACGGAGAGTTCGTTCCCAGCGCTCTGCCGGAGAGCCCGGACGCGGAGCCCGTGTGTGCGCTGAGGAGCCTGGGCCGCTCCAACGCGGGCGTGAAAGGCCTGATGAAGCCGGCGTCTGCGGTGCCGCCGGAGGAGAACGAGGCGCCGCTGGAGGGCTTGAGGAGCTGGAGGAAGAGGGAGAACGGCGGGAAGGTGAAGCAGAAGCTGAACTTCTCCCTGCCGGAGCCGGAGCGCAGCTTCAGCGAGCTGTCCAACAGCAGCTGGTCCGAGATGAGCCCCTGGGTCATCGGGAATAACTATCACCTGTTCCCGCTCACGCCCGAGATCGAGCAGCGGCTGATCCTGCAGTACCTCACCCCGCTGGGGGAATACCAGGAGGTGACCACACACACACACACACACACACACACACTGACGGGGACAGAGCTAGCCTGCAGCCTTGTATTTGCTCATCGAGGAATGATGCTCATTAACCGAGCTGCACCAATCACATCGGGTTATCTGATATAGGCGGGCCAGATGTGAGATGACGACTAGTTAATGACGAATAGTTAACATTGCTAGATGGATATGGATGAACACAGTTGTTTGAAACGGTTTTGGCCGCTACAATGAAGGAGTTAGACTTGGCTAGGCTAGCTGTTACAGCAAGAGTCTAATCTGCTCTGTGGTAGCTACTATTGTATTCGAGTGTTTGTGCTCATAAAAAAATGTAAATGACCTTTAACGAGAAAGACGTTTTTGTCATTTCTGAACCAGCTTATGATCTGGCTAGGGGTGTAACGGGCCGCGTGTGCTAACCGAAAGCCTCTGCTACGGGTCTTTTGGTCCGGCACACGTGTGTGCCGCGGCCACGGTCCACCTGGCAACTTCATGCGTTTTCACTGATCGGATAGCTATCTGATTTATCAAAATACGATCTTCAATTCCCGCGCTATATGCAGATTTAATGGAGTGCACGTCACCGAAAGCAACAGTTATGAGCTGCGTTTTATGATCATCAGGTAAAATAAGATCAGTTCGTTTATTTACTTTTAATGAAGATAACTGTGAAAAGCGTCTGCGACTTACTTTCACTTTGATTTGCGATAGTTGCGCATTGGCTTGATGAAGAGATGCTCAGCTGATCTGCGGTGATGCGTGTTGCAGTCGCGCGCGTCGTCATATCTGGCCATAACATGACAAGCCTGTAACGTTCTCATTTTTAGCGCTTTTGGAAGGAGTACATTTTACATATGTGGTTTCAACAACGAGATGCATATACATTTGTCCAGTTTCGACTGAAATGCGGCCCAGACCCCCTCCTGAAGTGGTTTGAGCGATTAGATTCAAACACGTCATGAATGCGTTTCACGGGGCATTTAACGTTACACCTGTTCTTTTCACGATCAGATAACTATCCGGTCAAAGAAAACGCATATATAGTGGCGTTTATGTTGCATAGTGTGTTAGATAGACTTTATTTATTTATTATCTTTTACATTGTAGTGTACACAACTAGTAACATGTCCTGTTCTGTAGACATGGTTATTATTTATTTATTCATGCTGTACCAGTCCAATATGACTGTCAGCTGAAATACATCTTATGTTGTAAGAACTTGTTTTATTTATTAATCTTTTTTTGATGCGTTTTCCAATAACTTTTGTAGTTTTACATCCACTTAAAAATATCGATATCACAATATTCATTATCGATATCGCAATATCACATTTTTGTCAATATCGTGCACCCCTAGCTCTCAAATAAAAATTCAAGTTTCTAATATTTGTCGAATTAAAAAAAGCAACTTTTTTGTTGTCAAGAGGTGTCGAGGTCTACTTCTATCCCTTATCTCATCTTTAATCTCCAAAATGACCCATTTAAAAGTTTCTCCTTGAAGAAATGTCTTCATGCCTTAAAATATCTTGAGTGTAACTCGACACCCTCGCCTCATTTAGTATGCGTGGCTCTATGAATATGCAGATTAATATTTTGTGCATTGTTTATTAACATTTTGTATTATTATATAATCCTGCATTATTCACAAAGGTTTTATGCATAGTTAAATGCACATCACATGGAAACGCGTGGTGCATCTTTCACGAAAACATTATTATCGACGTCCAACACAACACACACTTCCTTTTTAAAGGCATTGTCAGGCATAAATAAAGGCATCCCCCCCCATTTTAAAGCTGTGTGAAAAGCCATCTGATAACTCATGAGTAGCCTGAACCTGTGTGTGTGTGTGCAGCTGTTAGCTGTGTTCATGCAGCTCGGCGCTCGAGAGCTGCTGATGCACTACATGGACCTGAAGCAGACCAATGACGTCCAGCTCACATTCGAAGCGCTGAAGGTACCAGACTCATCACACACTCATCACACACTCCACAGCTCAATGTCTCTCTCGATCAGAAACACCATGTGATCTCGAGGCCTGTTTAGTGGTTTATCAGCCCGATGTTTACTCGTTCTCCTGCTCTGTGTTTCAGTATCTTGCATCTCTGCTCCTGCATAAGAAGTTTGCTGCCGAGTTCGTTGCCCACGGAGGAGTGCCGAAGCTGCTGGAGATCCCCCGGCCCTCCATGGCCGCCACCGGCGTCTCTCTGTGTCTCTATTACCTCGCGTACAACCAGGACGCCATGGAGCGGGTGAGATGCTGTCGCGAGCGCATTAGCACGTGTGCGGGACGAGTGGATGTTTTAAAGCGACGAGTAAAAGAGAATTGTACAAGCCCGACCGGACCAGTATCCTGATTAAAACGTCAATAACTAGGGAATCACTAACAGGAGAATGATTCAGATTGTATTATATTTATAGTAAGCTGCGATCAGTAGTTTATGATTAATGTTTTACTGACGGGAACAAGGTTGTGCTGTTGAGGCTCTCTAATGTGGAGTTTTATGTTTTTAACACACGATACAGTTTAGCAGTCTCACACGACGCGTGCTGTTCCTGAACACCATCACCACTGAATATGGGACGTTCAACAGTCTTAATCAAGTCACTTACATTCTAGACACAGTATTGACTGTTTTTGTTCAGTTTCAGCAGCGAAAATAGTCCCAAAACAAAGAACCGGAACACATCTCACAGGAACACGTCACTGTGTTTTCATTACTGAACGAATCAGCGTTTGAATAAATCGTTTGAGTGAATGGTTCAATGACTCATTCATAAACAGCTCTCTCATTCATGAACGAATCAGCCATTTGAGCAAATCGTTTAAGTGAATGATTCAATGACTCGCTCGTTAGAACAGTCTCCTGCCGCCCCCTACTGGAGGTTTAGTGTTATGTTTAAAAGTATTGTTCTTTTCAATGTTTCTTATTTGTATATTCAAAAATATTTAAAACGATCTCATAACATTATTTAATGCAGTTGTAATTTTTCAGTGTAAAGGATGTAATTTGATCAGCCTTAGAGTAACAGGCCTTTAGTATCTTATTATTCTAATTTAATTCATTGATCAAATTTAGCTCCCAGGTGCAGATATTGCAATATCCAAATTTTAATATCAAAGCTGATTGAACACTGATGAGAATATTGCTTCATTATAAATTGATCATACATCAAAACCGTCCTTCCTTCCCAAATTTGCATGGAGTGGCGTGCGGGGAGTAGCATTGAGGGAAAGCGTATACAGCGTGGAGGGAAATGTCGCAGGAAATGTCGGAAATGTGGCAAACCCTGGGGTCGTAGTGCACAGAGTGTTTCATGAGCCATCGGAAGACCTAACGCAATCGCAGATCTATTGAACACGTCCACAGAGGTGCAATGCATTCTAGTGTTTTTGTTGTAAACTCATATTGCGCAATTTGTACAGACTCATTAGAGGGTGAAGACAGCACAACAGGAGCATGTTGGAGGCGTGATCTGAACATGTAATGTCTGGTTTCGTATGCAAAAAGAATTATCCAGCTAGCCATTTGGTTTCTGTTTCAATCGGCTCTCAAACTGACTCACAAACACAGCGCCGACAGTCTTACAGCGTTAAAGGTGCAGAAACAGTGTATTATTTTTGCAGGTGTGTGTGCTGGTGTCTCAGGTGTGTGTGCTCTTCTCTCTCAGGTGTGTGTGCTGGTGTCTCAGGTGTGTGTGCTCTTCTCTCTCAGGTGTGTGTGCTGGTGTCTCAGGTGTGTGTGCTCTTCTCTCTCAGGTGTGTATGCTGCCGCACTCGCTGCTGGCGGAGGTGGTGAGCTACACGCTGTGGCTGCTGGAGTGCTCCCACGCCTCCGGCTGCTGCCACGCCACCATGTTCTTCTCCATCTGCTTCTCCTTCAGAGCCGTGCTCGACCTCTTCGACAAGCAGGACGGCCTGCGCCGGCTCGTCAACCTGGTGAGCTCTTCTTAGGGCGTAGGGATCAGACAATAAGAGTTAAAACCTAAAGTGAACGTTCTGTCTTTAAGTCCGTGCCCTAACCGGAGGCGGTGCGATGGGTACGATTACAGCTATGAGCTGTTCGTATGTTTACGCCAGACACAACACGATTACGAAATCAATTCACAATCAGAGGAGCGTGTGGGCGGAGTCTCTGCTATCACACTGCACTCGCAACAATCAATCAAACTCTCAACCAATCAGAGGAGCGTGTGGGCGGAGTCTCTGCTATCACACTGCACTCGCAACAATCAATCAAACTCTCAACCAATCAGAGGAGTGTGTGGGCGGAGTCTCTGCTAGCACACTGCACTCGCAACAATCAAACTCTCAGCCAATCAGAGGAGCGTGTGGGCGGAGTCTCTGCTAGCACACTGCACTCGCAAACAAATGAATAAGCACATAATCCAATTCATAAATGTTACACTATTTTAATATGATTAAGTGATTGAAATAAACATCCACTTTAAGTACACTTTTCAGCTATAAATCATATTTAAAATAATGAAAAATAACGTAATGTTAATTCAAGACGGAAACAATTTATTTCTCTTACCCCATTGGCAGATCATGTTGCTTGTTTTAAGCACAAAAAAAACTCACTTCATTTTTATTCCCTCTGAGAAAACAAGACATAATATCTTATGGTAAATCCATCTTGATTTAAGAATTTTCCGATATTTGGACTGGAAACCAGACTAAAATACTGAGTAAGAAAAGCATATTTCCAGCGCTACAGTTAGAATAAAGGCTCAGGGGTGTCGTAACGGTATGCTAAAGCTGTGTAGCAGCAGTGTTAGCCTGAGGTGTGTGTTGTGTTGTAGATCAGCACGCTGGAGATCCTGAACCCCGAGGACCAGGGCGCACTGCTGAGCGACGACGAGATCTTCTCCAGCCGGCAGACGGCCAAACACACCTGCATGGCCCTGCGCAGGTACTTCGAGGCGCACCTGAGCATCAAGGTGGAGCAGGTCAAGCAGTCGCTGCAGAGGACCGAGGGGGGGGCGCTCATACACCCACAGCCCTATTACAAGGTGCGTCCGCTCGCCACACTGCCATGTGACCTCAGTGATGTCACGGTCCTGCTGTCTGCCGTCTGAAATATACACTACTGATTAAACGTTTTTATCTATCTATCTATCTATCTATCTATATATTTATCTATAGTACGACTACAAATGCAAATTTAGATGCGCATTTGCTGAATGTTGACGGTAAATGAAGACGGAGAATGTGAGTGAGCGCTGTGTGATCGCTGATCAGGTGCTGTGTTCAAAAATAAAAGTAATGCGTCAAAATAAAAGTCCCACTTCCAACACATCGGCCAATCAGAAAAACGTATCGGCCAATGCCAATATTTAAAAATGCCAAATATCGGCCCATATATCGGTCGACCACTATACAAGTATGTAGTGAACTAATTTATCCTTATTTGAAAACTCAGCTTTGGTCACAGTAATTAATTAATTACCCTTTGTTTTATATTAGGGATTCACCGATATGAACATTTTGCCGATAACTGATATATTGGCTGATAAATCTAAATTCCAATTTGTATCTAATTTTTGAGAGCTTGATTACAAAAACAAAAGTCTCAAAATTAAAATCCATGTCCCAAACACACAATTTTATCATGTTCTCTTGATAATTTTATGTAGCCAATGTTGGACTGATCTGTATTTTTTATTTTTTTTAAGTGATTACAATCATATTTCAAGCAATTCAACTCTATCATGATGAACAGTGCGTCTCATCTGAAGGAAATAATACACTTTGATCGGCTTTAATATATCAGACAAATTGTCTTATCAGGCCGATAACAATAAAATGAACATACACTACCGGTCAAAAGTTTTAGATCGGTAAGATTTTTTATGTTTTTAAAAGAAGTCTTTTCTGCTCACCAAGGCTGCAATTATTTATTTAAAAAAAAACAGTAATATTGTGAAATATTATTACAATTTAAAACAGCAATTCTCTATGTGAATATATAGTGACGTGTAATTTATTCCTGTGATGAAAGCTGAATTTACAGCATCATTACTCCAGTCTTCAGTGTCACATGATCCTACAGAAATTATTATAATATGATGCTCAAGAAACATTTATGATTATTACCCATGTTGAAAACAGTTTTTTACATTTTTATTTCAGGATTCTTTGATGAATAGAAAGTTCAAAAGAACAGAATTGATCTGAAATAGAAATCTTTTGTAACATTAATCACTACCATTCAAAAGTTTGGGGTCAGTAAGAATTTATTTTTTATTTTTTGGGGAAAGAAATTAGAAAATACTTTTATTCATCAAGGATGAGTTAAATTGATCAAAAGTTACAGTAAAGACATTTATAATGTAAGAAAAGATTATATTTTAAATAAATGCTGTTCTTTTGAACTTTCTATTCGTCATAGAATTTTTTGGGGAAAATGGTACACGACTGTTCAACACGACTGTTTTTTGAGCATAAAAGCAGCATATCAGAATGATTTCTAAAGGATCATGTGACACTGAAAACTGATGTGTAATCAGCAACAGTAATGATGCTGTAAATTCAGCTTTCATCACAGGAATAAATTACACTTCACTATATATTCACATAGAAACCTGCTGTTTTAAATTTTAATAATATTTCACAATATTACTGTTTTTTTGTATTTTTTATAAAATAATTGCAGCCTTGGTGAGCAGAAGAGACTTCTTTTAAAAACAAAAAATCGTACCAATCCAAAACTTTTGACTGGTAGTGTATATCGGCCGAAACCGATATGGTGGACGATGTATATCGTGGATCTCTAAAAACAATGTTTTTTCACCCGTGTGATATTGATATAGAGCCGTTTCTCATGTCTATGCATGTGATATTGCTCATATAAATATATGATGCAAGTATACGATGCTGCTTTCATTCTTCAAGAAAAGCGATATCTTTTAGTTGTCGTGGTGATGCTGAAGTGTCCCGTTGGTGTTGCAGGCGTGCTCCTACACACATGAGCAGGTGGTGGAGATGGTGGAGTTCCTGATCGAGTTCGGGCCGGCGCGCCTGTACTGGGAGCCCGCCGAGGTCTTCCACATCCTGTCCTGCGTCCAGCTGCTGCTTCAGCTCATCTCCATCGCCTGCGACTGGAGGACCTACTACGGCAGGTGAGCGCCAGGCATGCTGGGAGCAGGGAACGGAGTCTGGCTTGCTTTGTTTGAGGTGTTTGTGTACACGTGATATCAAAGGTGCAAACAGGCATTTTGTTTGATGTATCGCAGTAAACTTTCTGATGGCAGTCATCTTGGACTTTCTATCGGTGTGAATGGAGCAGCATCCAAAAAGCAAAGGTTTCGGGTTGCAGAACAGTTGAAATACATGCAGTTTGCACAAATTTCATGAGTAAAAGTGTCAATGATGATAAATGTCACGTTTCCACCAGTATAGAACTGGTTGGGAACTGGTGCTGGTTCAACTTGCGAACCTTCTCAGAACCGGTTTGTTTTTCCACTGACTAGAGAGCCCAGCGAACGCCATTGTGCTGCCATACGTCTCAGCTTTCCCATTCCCGTCGTGTTGTTGGTCACAGTAACCCCCCCAGTCCCCGACGTGAGCATGACCAGAACGGTTCTAGTCCTGCAAAGAGTTGGAATCCATTTTCCCGGCCGAGAACCGGTTCTTTGGCTGTCAAAACTAGAGGCAGACCGATATATCGGCAGGCAGATATTATCGGCCGATATTAGGCATTTTCTAAAATATCGGTATCGGCTGTTATAATGGCCGATAAATGAATATTTAAAAAATAAAATAAAAACGGATGAATCACGCTTCAACCATGTCACGAGTGTTGTCAAAAAGTGCAGGTAAAGGCATTGTAATTGTGAGGTAGCTTATAACTATAAGGCAATGTAGGGACTAATTATTATTTTATTTATCAGAACTTTAATATATTTTGATGTTCCTCCGTTCTGTTGTGACAATAGAAAAAATGTCTTTTTAAAATGCATTATCATATTATTTTAATTAAAACTCCTATATAAATAACTAATGTTAGGGAAATCTGTTAATATTTTGTTGCGCGTTTCTGAAATAAAAATAATAATAATATCGGCCGATATATCGGATTTTAAAACCAACAAATATTTGTATCGGCCTTCAAAATCCTTTATCGGCCTGGCTCTAGTCGAAACACACCGCCTCTAAAATTGCTTCGGTGGAAAAGGGGTAATATTGCGAGTCGAGTTCGGCCGGTCATGTGATCGCAACATGTCAGACTGATGTAGCGGTGGCAAATATAAGCAAAAATCACAATATCCTTAAGTTTGGTTGATTATGAAGTGTATCAATACACACCTTTTTATCTCTTATGATACGATTCCAACAAGTGTACCGCAATACACTCTTGTAATACCACTCATATTGTTTGTAAGTGTTATTGCTTGTGGTTGACCAATACATCGGCTCATGTATATTTATGTACATGTCTATGTTAAAGATATTGGTACTTGGTAGGGTTTGTGTTGTGTTTGTGTATATACATGTACGCACACATACACGAACTGCTATTGGTAGACCGATATATCGGCCGATATTCTATATAACGTATACATTTTATTATTATTTGTATCAGGCTGATGTGTGGGAAGCGAGTGGAAGCACTGTGAACACAAGCCTAGTTTACTGTCCCCGTTGATCAGTTAAACCCAGTAAACTCTATACGAAGACCTATTGAAGTGTTTGCTTTTCTCTTATTTGGAAGCAGGACTTTTATTTTGAAAGCGCTTAAGGGTTGATCTGAGCGCCAGTGTGCTGTGCAACTGTACTACTTTAAAAACAATATTCTCCAATATAATATGCTCAAATTAGTCATTTGTAGGGATGCACCGAATATTCGGCCACCGAAATTTTTTTCACCCTGAGATTATTACTTGTGACATTACAAAAAAATATATATGGGAACATGTACTGTATGTATAGAACTAAATTAATGCTCTCTTAAATATTTTCTACATTCATTAAACATGTTTCATTAAGTTTCATGTACATTTGTATTAATCATGGACCTTTGTTCATTTAAAAATGCTTTTTATGGTATTGTATGCTAAATTTTTAAAATGTAAGAAACAAATTTAGATGTGCAAACTGGGTGCTGGTGTGATGAGAAGAAGTTCACGCTCGGCTTTGTTTTTATGAGAGAACATTTAATTTTAAAACCTTTCTGCAGGCCATTAGATTATTATTTAATATACACATGAGTGGGGTCAAAAACATTTTAGTTTGAATTTTATTTTATACTGTGCATTGTGCTAAATAAATATTTGCATAATTTGTAATTGATTTATTCTTTGAAAATCTTATGTTAATTTATGCAATTGCAATGCCTTGATTTTAGTAACGTTTGTACACAGTCATAGCCATAAATGCAATGATACTAATAATTGGCATAATTTCTTTCGGTGTTTTCGGCCTTGGTTTCCCTAGTCATTTGTTCGTGATTCAAGTTGCATTTATTTCTACAGTGGAAAAACACAATGTAAATATTCAGCATATTGCCCCCCATACACAAGTGCTCATGTCCTAGCTTTTCTGATCATGAACATATGTCAACAAATTTTTTTTATTGTTACAGTGACATTTTTTGTATTTTACCCATTACCCCAACTTAATCAACCAGCCCCTGAAAAAAATAAAAATAAATGTATTAATAATTATAATAATAAAAAAATGTATGTGCTCCTGATTTGAACCATTTTTGAAAAGATCTGTTGCACTGTTGTGTAAACCCTTTAGTAGTGACGTTGCCGCTCTGGTGTGTGTGTGTGTGTGTCAGGGCTGACACCGTGCGGTACGCGCTGGACATCCTGAGCATCCTGACGGTCATCCCCAAGACTCAGGTTCTGCTGTCGGAGAACGTGGCGGTGCTGGACGAGAGCGGCTCCTCCATCTCCACTGTCGGTGAGCAGTGCTCGTCCCTACAGGAGCCCATGTCGTTTACTCTACCATATATAGCCGCTAATGCTTCAAGCCTCTGCCTGAACAATGACATGTCCTTTACCGGCACAGACATGTGATCAGAGATCCACAGAAATTAACATTTTTGCATAATATAATTTAGTGCCATAAAATCCTCCAAAAACACAAAATATTAAATATTTGTTATTATTAAATATTATATTTTGTTATTATGAAATATTACTTTTTTTTTATTAAATCCCCCAAAAACACAAAATATTACATTTTCATAAAATATTAAACGTTATCGAGCTGAAAAAATTTCTGTCAATTTTGACCGACACTCGAAGAGCACCAGAGGGTTAAAACAATAATGATGTGCACTGATAAATCATTTACAATGAACTCTGCAATATTCCATTAAAACCAAAACAAGAATTTACATGTTTGATTTAATACTGATTTTAACAGAATGATAGATTTTTGATATTGCATGCGTTTGTTCTATATGGAAATCCAGTCTTAATCTAATTTCTGCAAGTGTTGAATGTGATTCCTGTGTTCTGCAGGGATGAGCATCGTGCTGGTCGTCGCCGAGGGTGAAGTATTCGTAAACGACGCCGAAATCCAGAAGTCGGCCCTGCAGGTGATCATAAACTGCGTCTGCGCTCCGGACAAGCGTGTCTCCAGCATCGGCAAGTTCATCTCGGGAACGCCACGCCGCCGTCTGCCGCAGAGCCACCGCGCGAGCGAGAGCGTGCTAGCCAAGATGTGGAACGTGGTTCAGTCCAACAACGGGATCAAAGTCCTGCTGTCCCTGCTGACCATCAAGATGCCCATCACCGATGCTGACCAGATCCGCGCGTTAGCGTGCAAAGCCTTGGTTGGATTAGCACGTAGCGCAGCAGTACGGCAAATCATTAGCAAGCTTCCGCTATTCAGCAGCGGTCAGATCCAGCAGCTCATGAAGGAGCCGGTGCTTCAGGACAAGCGTAGCGAACACGTGCGCTTCTGCAAGTTTGCAGCAGAGCTAATCGAGCGAGTGTCCGGGAAGCCTTTGTTGATCGGCACTGACGTGTCGTTAGCGCGGCTGCAGAGAGCTAATGTCGTGGCGCAGTCGCGCATCTCGTTTCCAGAGAAGGAACTACTTCTGCTAATTCGGAATCATCTTTTATCTAAAGGTCTTTCTGACACGGCTACGGCTTTAACGAAGGAAGCTGAGCTTCCCATGGGGCTACATGCGCTAGCACATTCTAGCGTGCCGCCGTTCACTCCCGTTTCTGTGGCCACGCCTCCTTCTCCTGCCGCCAGCATCCCTCGGACTCCTCGGCTCACTAACGGAGTTGCGGCTCGTTTGGGTGGCCACACCTCTCATCACCTGCAGCCCCGCCCCTCGACCTCACAGGCTCCGCCCCCGCCGTCGCCTGTCGTTTCTCACCACAGCAACGGCTCTCCGCTAATCGGGCGAATCGTGTTCTCGCGGGAACGACCGTCACCGTGTCCCGCCGCTGGAGGGAAGAGGCCGAAAGTGTTGAGACAGAAATCGGATCATGGCGCTTTTATTCAGAGTCCGGCTATGAAGAAGCAGCTGGACCGACATCTGCCCTCTCCACCTTCTCTAGACAGGTGTGCTAGTCTCTGCTTATATGCTTAGCGTCCTGTGCTCTTCGGGCATCTTTGACTGAAAGATTTTACGTTTTGGTTTTTTTAGAATTTTTTACTTCATTGGAATGGTACATCGCTGGTAAAGGTTTTAGCACTTGCTATAAAAAAACACACACAAAAATCATGGACACGATTCGAACAGGTGAAATGGTCCTGAAAAGAACAGTCACTCTTGTGCTCCTCGCGGTCAGAAACGAGCGCATTGGAAACGAATTGGAGACAAATTTTATCTATTGGACACGTTTGGTACTCCAGCCGAACACAACTTTTCTCACTTCAGTAATAATCTTGAAGTGTTGTCTTTGAAAAGAGACCAACGTTAAAAGTCGCTCTAAAGAAGTCAAGATTTACCACTGTTTTAAGTTTGAAGTTTAATTTACAGGTTTATGCTCAAAACGCGTAAATATAATTTAGTACCATAAAATCCCCAAAAAACATTATCAAACTAAAATATAGTACGTTCATTTAATTTACAAAAAAAAACGCGACCGACACGCGAGGTGCACCAGAGTACTAAAGTCCCCCTGTAGTCAATAATTTTATCCCTTTAAACTCTTCTTTGATCACCAAAATGAAATGTCTTCATGCCTTGCAATATCTTGAATGTAACTCGACACCCTTGCCTCATTTAGTATGCGTGGTTCTATGAATATGCAAATGAGCCCCGCCTCCACTCACTCACTCACTGGTTGTCGATCACACGTTGATCTGATTGGTTACAAGGTGGTTTGTGACGTCAGAAACACCAGCGATTTCAAAGCGTGTGTTTGAGACTGTCTTTGGTTCACTGCAGTTTTAAGGAGGAAATACTCAGCAATGCTGTCCACTTATCAACGCACACATGGTTTGTGTTAAAGTAAATAAAAAACAACATTAAAAGCCCGACCACAAATAAAAGCCGTTCTGACATCAGAAACTATTAGGTGATCAGTTGTAAAATAATTGGTCGCACCATGGTGTTGAATGTGGCCTAGAAATGATTTGTATCCAAAAAAATATGTATCAATGCAACTATTTAATCTATATCACTAAAAATCACTTGGTAAAATCACAAAAAAAATCTTCCTTCCGCTGGAAAAAATAGTCCCTGACCGTAAACAGCAACAGAAGTTAAATCAATGTTTTCGTCATTAGATGGCGGCGAAGATGGGCTTTATGAGTGAAGACTTTTATTTTGACAGGACTCAAACTTGTGCACGGAGAAGCAAGACCCACTGATATAGGGCACGGGAAAAAACCTTAACTGTAGGACAAGATATCGCTGCAGGCCTTTAAACAGATATTACGCATATAGGACTGACCTGAAGATGCTGTATCTGCTGTAAATGCAGGGACACTCGCTTACTCGATCTCTCACAATAGTCACTCTATAAGCTTATCAACATTAATGAGATCAAACATGTGTTTGCGTTGCTAAAAGTGGTTGCTAGGGGTGTTGTGTAGTGATGCATAGAGCCGTTGGGTGAAGCGGTCATAGCCGTGTGTTATCGTGAATAAAACACTTGCTATTGATCAGAATCAAGCACTGAAACTAACAGTTTTTCTAAGAATAATTGTGCCATGTGTTGTTGTTTGCAGTATAATAACGGAGTATTTGCGTGAGCAGCACGCGCGCTGCAAGAACCCGGTGACGACGTGTCCCCCCTTCAGCCTGTTCACCCCTCATCAGTGTCCCGAGCCCAAGCAGAGACGCCAGGCGCCCACCAACTTCACCCCGCGACACACTCGCCGGGTCGTGTACCCCAAATACGGCGGAGTGGACGGAGGCTGTTTCGACAGGCATCTCATCTTCAGCAGGTGATCTTCACTGGGGTCTCTGGGTATCGGGTCAGGTGCTCTACACTGGGGTCTCTGGGTATCTGTTCGGGTGCTTGGGTTCCCGATTCGTCTCGATGAATATAGCTCTAATACCAATACTATATTTATACACCGTGAATATAAGTTTACAAGTGCTTAAAGGTGCAGTGTCTAAGTTTTAGCGGCATCTAGTGGTTAGGTTGTGAATTGCACCCAACAGAAGTTCCGGTGGCTGACAGGAAGTGATGTCATCTGAGAGTTGCCAGTTAAACAATTTCTTTACAAAGATAAATGAAGAAATTATATTTACTTAATTCAGTAAAACGATGTTATTGCGTGTGTAACTAATATCACATAATTTAAATGTACAGTATGAAATTTTTGGCCACCAGGGGTCACTCATTTAAAATAATAACAAAAGACGTACTTTGATGACGTCGGGAAAGAGCGTGGGCTCACGGGAGTTGTTGTCGCTGTCAATAACAAGCAGCTCAGCTCATGACATGACATCATCGTTTCACAAAATATACGGATATACGGCATCTCTCTGTAGATTTAGCTTGTCGAGAAGCTTTAAATGCAACCCCAATGTTTACCTGTGTCATGCTTCTCCTGTCCCAAACCCTTCTCGGGTTATATTTTTCACCCGTACGTTTGAGCTTTACTGAGCTGGCTGTAGCAGCAGAACGTGCAGGCAAAGCGTAATCGTGGTCCATAACTATAATACAGACCGCAGTAGACGAATATAAATATTTATATTACGCTCCTTCAATGAATGACCTATTTTAGAACATGTTTCATATATAGAGCGCACCGGATTATAAAGCACATAAGATACTGCAGTCAAACGTTTGACTGGGTTTGCGTTATGCATCCACTATGTGCTAAAGGGAATGTAGTGAGTGCGCGGTGTTTATTTAGTAAGCATGAGCGCGCTGAAGCGGGCACGTACATTCGCAGCCTGACTCATAATGAGTATTCAATGTGCGCGGCTCGCTAACAGCAACAGTTGGCTGTTTTGAATGAGACGACACGGTTACTGTGAACGGGGAGCGCTTTATGCGCGAGCAGCACCGGGGACAGTGTGTCTGTTAAGAGTGAGCGCTCGTGAGCGGGCACGTGATTTACACATAAAAATACGTACTACTTTTTTTTCTTCGTCATTTTCTTTGCTTTATTGGCGGTAGTCCAGTGTTCCCCTTTGTGTTTGGAGGTTTCGCCGGGCTCCGCAAGGAAGTTAGAGAAAATAGAGGAGTCAAAGGTTATATGACGCCATAGACGGGTGACGAAACGGAAATAAAGAAACGTCCCGTGTCTTCGAATTAAACCATAAATTTCTCCGTATTTGAAAGTTGGTGGAAACTGTCAGGATAATGTAAGTACACATCTAATAGAAATATATAACATACATACAGTTATTTTTGCTATTTTTAAAGCAGAAAAAATACATATTGTGGCTTTAAAGGGTGCAGTTGATTAATTGAAGATTCAATGATTCAATTGAAGTTGACTTTTTCAAATCAGAAGTATCAAAGGTTATCGTGATTATTGGATGGCAGGAGCTATGAATGGTGTTTAGGGAAGTTTAGTTCTCGTGTCGACTGAAAGCAGCGCTGACTAAAACACACAACTGGGGATTTAGGGATTGAGGAATCAGTATCGGTTTATCAAAATGTGTCAAGTCAATATTTTAGCCCAGCTTTGGTATCCACGTTCTTTTTCCTCTTGACTTTAAGGTCACCACTGAAGTATTTTGTGTGTGTGCGCGCAGGTTTCGCCCAATCTCGGTGTTCAGGGAGGCTGAGGAGGATGAGAGTGGCTTCATGTGTTGTGCGTTCTCGGCTCGAGAGCGGTTCCTGATGTTGGGCACGTGCACCGGCCAGCTCAAACTCTACAACGTGTTCAGTGGACAAGAGGAGGCCAGTTACAGCTGCCACAGCTCCGCCATCACACACCTCGAGCCCTCCAGAGTAAGCACACACACACACACACCTGAAGGGGGTTTATTCTGAGATCACACACACACACACACACCTGAAGGGGTTTATTCTGAGATATCAACCGGCTGGATGTACATTATCCACTTATTACACGGATACTTGCCACAAGTTAATAATTAGACACCAAATTTGATCTGAGTTGAAATTTTATTTGCTCTTTAAACACAAAACGTAGAGAGCAGTTTCAGCGGCAAGATCAAACTACACTGACATTTAAGACATTTTACACATCATTTCACCACATTAATAATGTGTATGAGAGATATTGATTTCAGATTAAACTGTTTTAAAATCGTACCTGTTTGTTTCTTATAATCCAACAATGAACAGAACTATAGTCACACGCTGCGTTTGTATTAAACAAGAGAGTTTTAATATTTTGTTAGCTCACCAAACCCAAAACTTCCTGAAGGATAGACCGCTCCTCGCGAGTGTGTAGCGCTGATGTCTTCAGTGACCAGATGAGTCTGTGTTTCTGTTATCTGGGAATAATACACCGCTGGATGTGTGATTGACCAATCAGAATCAAGCATTCCACAGCGCTGTGTAATAATGTTGTTTAGTTTCCATGGTAAAATAAAGCTGATACAAAGAATCAGTGCGATTGAAATGATTCATCCACATCAGATGGTGGAGATTTCCTGATCAGCCTCTAGTATCAAAGTACACAGATGTGATTGTCTGAATGTGTGTGTGTGTGTCAGGACGGCTCGCTGCTGTTGACGTCAGCATCTTGGAGTTACCCGTTATCCGCGCTGTGGGGGATGAAGTCTGTGTTCATCATGAAGTGAGTCTACAAGCCATCAGAACTCGACTCCTATTCTTCACATGGGATTTTAATTGATGAATTTATCCTCTTTTCCAGGCATTCCTTCCTGGATGATCATTATGTGGAGTTCAGCAAACTCTCTCAGGACAGAGTCATAGGAACCAAAGAGCACATCGCACATGCAAGTCTCCTTCCTAACCACTGCCTTCGTCAGTGTTGTGTTTCGAGTCACTCGAACATTAGGGAATCATCTCTTATTCAGGACTAAAAACACGCAGATTCAAAATTGTGTTTTAAAACTTATAATATGCTATTAAATTTCGGGATGCTCGATATCGGTATCGGCCGATATACGTTCTAGAGCCAGACCAATATTATCGGCCGATATTAGGCATTTTCCATAATATCGGTATCGGCAGTTATAATGGCCGATAAATGAATATTTAAAAAATAAAATAAAAACGGACTAAACACGCTTCAATCATCTCTCCTCGGCCTGTTATATTGAAAATGGATGTTTTACAATTTGCAGTATGATGTTATCTATTGCTAAATTATGGCTCATCATAGACTAAAGCTAGCTAATGCCACTATCATCAGTGGAAGACCGCTAACGTTAACATTAATGAGCTTGGAAACCACAATGAACTTTTTCTGCCTAAATAAAGTAATGATTACTGTATTTATATCTCTAGTTACAGTCCCTGCATTGTAAAATGTAAGTTATACTTGTGAGGAGTGAACATTTAGACACAGAGAAAAAGTATCAAACGTATCTTGTGCAGAAAAGTTAGCTTTTCTTTTTACACGTGTGTGAAAACTAACAATGTTTAATAAAAAAAAATATCGGCCGATATATCGGATTTTAAAACCTAAAAATATTGTATGGGCCTTCAAAATCCTTTATCGGTCGGGTTCTAATACGATCATTTTTAATGTTATCATTATTGGGCCAATAAGAAAATTTGTCCGATATATTAAAGCCGATGAATAGTGTATTATTTCCTTCAGCTGAGACGCTTGAAAAAAATTTGGAATTATATTTATCGGTTATCAAATATAATGAATTATCGGTTATCGGTATCGGACAAAATTTCCATATCGGTGCATCCCTAATGTGAAGCTGGGAAATGTTCACATAATCAAGAAAATACATCGGTGTATATAATATAAAGAATTATCGGTTATCGGTAAAATGTTCATATCGGTGTATCCCTAATCACATGATATCGCCATGTGTGTTTCTGCAGATATATGACATCCAGACAGGACAGAAAATCCTGACCCTCAATAACCCCGACCTGGCCAACAACTACAAGCGCAACTGTGCCACGTTCAACCCCACGGACGACCTGGTCCTGAACGACGGGGTCATGTGGGACGTTCGCACATCTCAGGCCATCCACAAGTTCGACAAGTTCAACATGAACATCAGTGGCGTTTTCCATCCCAATGGATTAGAGGTCATCATCAACACCGAGATCGTATGCTTTTCTGCTCAGTGAACCACTGTTTTATTATGAAGCCGTTTTCTGATCCTTCTGTTTTCTGTTGAAGTCCCCCAGAATGCAATGCTTTCATCCTTTATCACCAAAATGACATCAGCGTTTTTCCTTCATGCCTTAAAATATCTTGAATGTAACTCGACACCCTCACCTCATTTCGCATGTGCGGTTCTATGAATATGCAAATGAGCCCCGCCTCCACTCACTCACTCAGGGATCCACTGGTTGATGATCACACGTTGATCTGATTGGTACTTTGTAGTTTAAACCATAAACAACATTTAAACGCTGGATTTTCACCACAGGGGGACTTCAGCTCTTCACAATACGGTTTTAAATCAAGTGTTGCATGTGTTGACACTAGTGAATGCACTGTGAGCTAGCATGAGCGAACACTGAACAGCTGTATTAACGAACATTAATACATTTCTCAGTTTAGCTAGTGCATTAACTAACGTGTCCCACTTTATATTAGGCGCCTTTAACTACTATGTACTAAAATTTAAATAAATTGATACAATGCGCGTACTCGTTTTTACATTGTACGTATATTTTTAAAATACCATCTACAATTAACCCTTAAACAAGCAACCCGTCCTAACCTGAGTTTTACAAGACAGCATCAACACTATAAGCACCTTGTATTTATTTATTTAGTTTTTGGTTGAAGTATGCAGTAGTTAAACACACCGAGCCGCCCGGTAGATGAGTGCGTGTTGATGTAGACAAGTGTGTATTCGGGAAGCGTGTGTGTGCTTGAAAGCGGAGTTGTGGTCTTTAACTGGAGCTCCAGTGGGATCTGAGGACGTTTCATCTCCTCCACACTGTGCCGGCGCTGGATCAGTGCAGGATCGTCTTCAACAACAACGGAACCGTCATTTATGGAGGTGAGAGACATTCAGATCCTTCACTCTCCTCTTCCTCAGTTAATGTTGCCGTCTAATGCTTTATTACCCATCGGTCTGCACTCCATACCCTCCGGGAGCTTGTGTCCGCCACAGGAGAACAAATAAAAAAGCTAATTGTGACTTATCTCGCAATTCTGACTTTATAACTCACAATTACGAATTTATAACTCACAATTCAGACTTTATAACACAATTTCAAGTTTATATTGCGCAATTCTGACTACATCTCGCAATTGCGACTTTATATCACGTAATTTTGACTATAACACAATTGTGTTAACTTTATTGTGCAATTCTGACTGTATAACTTGCATTTGCAACTTTATATCACGCAATTGTGATTTTATAACACGCAATTCTGATTTAACACACAATTGCAGATGTATCACGCAATTCAGACATTACAACACAATTACGAATTTATAACTCACAATTCAGACTTTATAACACAATTTCAAGTTTATATTGCGCAATTCTGACTACATCTCGCAATTGCGACTTTATAATGCATAATTTTGACTAACACAATTGTGTTAACTTTATTGCGCAATTCTGACTTTATAACTTGCAATTGCAACTTTATATCACGAAATTGTGATTTTATAACACGCAATTCTGATTTAACACACAATTGCAGATGTATCACGCAATTCAGACATTACAACACAATTACGAATTTATAACTCACAATTCTGACTACATCTCGCAATTGCAACTTTATATAACGCAATTCTGACTTTAACTCGCAATTGCAAATGTATCACGCAATTCAGACTTTATAACACAATTACAAGTTTATATTGCGCAATTCTGACTACATCTCGCAATTGCGACTTTATATCATGTAATTTTGACTAACACAATAGACTAACACAATAGACTAACACAATTGTGACTATTGTGCAATTCTGACTTTATAACTTGCAATTGCAACTATATCACGCAATTCTGACTAACTCGCAATTGCAACTATATCACGCAATTGTGATTTTATAACACACAATTCTGATTTAACACACAATTGCAAATTAATCACGCAATTCAGACCTTACAACACAATTACAAATTTATAACTCACAATTCTGACTTTACATCTCGCAATTGCAACTTTATATCACGTAATTCTGACTAACACAATTGTGACTTTATTGCACAATTCTGACTTTATATCACGCAATTCTGACTAACTCGCAATTGCAACTTTATATCACGCAACTGTGACTTTATATCACGCAATTCTGATTTTATACCACAATTGCAACTTTTTATCTTGCAATTCTGATTTTGTAACACAATTGCGACTATATCACGCAATTTTGACTTTATAACACACAATTGCAACTTTATATCACGGTTTTCTGACTTTTTTTCTCAAGTTTATATCACGCTATTCTGAGAAGTTAAGTCACGATTATCTTTTAAAATGTTTTCTTCTGTGGTGGAAACAAGCTTCCACAATACTCCACGTTGACAAAGCAAACAGAGATTTTTGATGACTTGGCAAATTTATTTAAAAGAAAATGTAAATATCACATTGCCATTAGGACTCAAACTCCGGCTTCAGCGATGACACCCTCGGGTGCTTCTGGGTCTCCTCGTGCAGATCCTCTGAGGACTGTCTGGATGGTGGAGTTAGTAGTGTGATAAACTGGAGGTTATGGAAAGGGGCGGGACATTTCCCAAACGCACTCGAAGTGCTCAACCAATCAAACACACTTCTCCAGCCGACCAATCAGAGCACAGTGTGCTTTTAGGAGGAGGGGCTTCATAGAGACAGGAAGTAAACAGAGCGTTACTGACAGACTGGGACGAGAGGAGCCGCAACAATGGAGAATATGAGGAGAATAATCAACATTCCTGTTCTAGGAGAGCCTGAGTTTGAGAGAGCAGAATTGGGACACTTTAAGATCCTTTTCCTGTTGGAATTCATCACAACATTTGAATGCGTCGTGTTATAAGAGTGAACACACAATCTGTGTTTATTCTGCATATATTGAGGTGTAAAGTGCTCTGGATGAATATGTGTGTGTGTTTCACTGATGTTCTGGTGTGTGTAGCTGATGTTGTGTGTGTGTGTGTAGCCATGTTGCAGGCCGACGATGAGGATGACATGATGGAGCAGCAGATGAAGAGCCCCTTCGGATCCTCCTTCAGGACCTTCGACGCCACCGACTACAAACCCATCGGTATCTCATCCTCAGCTTTTACAAAAGAACATGTGATCTGATCAAAGTATATATTGTGTGTCCGCCGGTTAGTGTAAAAGCATTTACATGAAAGACAAGCTGTCCATGGACATTACTTTGACAATAACCCAGTCTTTCTGTTTACGCTGATGAATAATGCTAATAATTGTATTGAATAATGAATATAAAATAGTTGTTTGCTTTCTCAGCCACCATTGATGTGAAGAGGAATATCTTCGACCTGTGCACAGACACCAAAGACTGCTATCTGGCCGTCATCGAGGTGCGCTGCGCTCTCAGTCATTCATACGGTTGTGTATATGAAGAGTTCAGATGCAAAAGCCTCTAAATGCCATTTGAAATTTTCTTCTTTAATGATGATTTTTATCAAACTTGTATATTTAAGTTCAGTGATTTCACTTAAATTGCAATGATAATTACCTATTAATTGTTGTTTAAGTGAAATTACTGAACTTAAAAAAAAAAGTTTGATAAAAATCATCATTAAAGAAGAAAATTTCAAATGGCATTTAGAGGCTTTTGCATCTGAACGCTTCATATATAACTCTGGGACAAACTTATTTACGGATCCAGATTTTATTTTTATCATTTTTAGCACAAGTACATTTAAACAATCTATTATATAATTGTACTCATTTTGTACATACTCATTTTTATTTTTATTTTTTATCTTATTTATATTAAAATGAAGATTTGTGTTTGGTTTGATGACTGTGATCTCTGATCTTCTCTGACGGGAATTCTACAGCTACATTCGTACAATAAAATCTCGACTACCCATATTTCTCATGCTCGACACTAACTCGTGTGTGTGTGTGTGTGTGTGTGTGCGTTACAGAATCAGGACTCTATAAACATGGACACTGTGTGTCGTCTGTATGAGGTGGGCCGCCAGAGACTCGCTGAGGAGGAGGAGGATGAAGAAGAGCAGGTGAGGCTGATGATAAACACACATCTGACAGCTCACCTCTTTCTGTTTCTCTTTCATCAGCTAATTCTCTTTTCATGCATATTAAGGAAATAATGTTTTATTTAAGAACAAATGTTTCAAAAGTTAATTTCAATAAAGGATCCCATTCTTGATTTGGTTTATAAATGGTCATTGCGCTCGTCCCTGTTGTGGCCTTAGCAGACAGTACAGCTCCGTCCCCTCTCACCTTAAAGGAGTAGTTCACTTTTAAAAAAACTTTTCCTGATAATTTACTCGGCCCCGTGTCATCCAAGATGTCCATGTCTTTCTTTTTTCAGTCGAAATGAAATTAAGGTTTTTGATGAAAACATTCCAGGATTTTCTCCATATAATGGACTTCAATGGGGTCCAAACGGTTCAAGGTCCAAAAGACAGTTTCAGTGCAAACTGTTCAAAGGGCTTTAAACGACACCAGACGATGAATAAGGGTCTTATCAAGCGAAACGATCGCTCATTTAATAAATAAATAACAAAGTTTAAGTTTTATGAGCTCAAATGCTCGCCTTGCTCTGTTCTGTGATGCGCGTTCGTGACTAAACGAATCTTTCTGAGTCATTTGGTTCATTCAACGAACGAAACGAGTGAATTGACTCGGAAAAAGACACAGAACAGAGCAAGGCGAGCATTTGAGCTTATAAAACTTAAACTTTTTTATTTATTTATTAAATGAGTGATCGTTTCGCTTGATAAGACCCTTATTCATCGTCTGGAATCGTTTAAAGCCCTGTGAACAGTTTGCACTGAAACTCTCTTTTGGACCTTGAACCGTTTGGTTCCCATTGAAGTCCATTATATGGAGAAAAATCCTGGAATGTTTTCATCAAAAACCTTAATTTCTTTTCGACTGAAGAAAGAAAGACATGGACATCTTGGATGACACGGGGGCGAGTAAATTATCAGCAAAAGTTTTTTTCAAAAGTGAACTACTCGTTTAAGAAAGAAATTAGAATTAATCTTTTCAGCCATTCTGACAGCCCTAGTGTGTGTGTGTGTATGGAAGGTTTTTGCTGGAATGAGGCATTCTGGTAATTCTCAATTGTGCAATTTTGTACAAATCGTTTATCACCCTCCTTTTTACCGTTCAAATGAAACATGATGTCTGAAAGCACACTTCCTGCTTGTGAAATGCACTGCAGCCTCTACGGCTTCGATCAGACTGATGGAGATCTGGTGTGTGTGTGTGTTTCAGGAGGAGGATGACCAGGATGAAGACGACGACGATGACTCTGATGATGACATCGATGACATCGACACCGACCCGCTGCTGGCCGAGCTGAACGAGAACAACGGCGAGGAGGACGGAGAGCACGACTTCTCTCCGTCCGACGATGAGGAGGTGGCGCGCCTCCTGGATGAAGAGGCTGACGACGACGATGATGACGACGATGATGATGACGATGATGATGACGACGACGACGATGATGATGATTCTGATGATAATGAGCGAGATGTGGAGCTTGTGCTGGATAACAGTGAGTTTGACGTTCATCCAGTATCATGATGATTAGGGCTGGGTATTGAGACAAATTTCACGATTCGATTTCGATTACGATTCGATTAAATATTGATTATTTTGGATATCAGTTACAATAAATGGCAAATTTTCTCAAGGGAATCAAATCTCTGAACTAATGCTGTAAACTATGGGAGTCTAGTTGTAGCCTATAGGCTTCATTAGCCTAATATGAAGGTAATAATGAACTGTTTTGTAGCTATACAAACACTTAAATTACACTTTTATTTATTTTTATAATAAGAAGATTATATGAAATATAAACATTTAAATGGTGGCCGTCATAAAAACTTGCCAGATTTATTCAAATATGCATTAAATATTGAAGAACATTAAGATTATAATGCATATGTAATATGGTGTATATATTTAGCAAAATGCTCCTCTCTAGAGTTATTTTTTCTATCTGACTAACGAGTTTATGTGGGTTTTCTGAGGTAAATATGACGATGACATTGATTACAAGCTGTTTAACTGACGTCTTTCCACGGTTGAAACGCTGATTGAGTGAATCAATGTGACATGATCCGGATTTGGATAAGTTGTACTCTATCTTTAACACACTTTCAGATGCTCATTCATGTTTATTTGGCGCTGTGACTGGTATTATTAAGCCGGAAGAGAGATCAGCGCTGCTGCTTCTCCAGAGCGATCTCACGCCACAGCGACAAAACACTATTTATGTTTTTGAATTTCTAAAGAAAATGGACGTAATTTGAAAATTGAGACTTTGCTTCATATCAATAGTAACAAAGGACGAAGATTATTGCGATTTTTTTGGATGCGCGCAGCCGCGATACAATGATCCATTCATTCAAATGAAACAGGATGACTAATCGATTCTGGAGATTTAAAAATCGATATCGGTTCGTAAAAATGAGAATTGATTAATATCAAGAAATCAATATTTATTACCCAGCGCTAATGATGATGTCATCGAAGTCCTGGAAAACACACACGTTTATGAAGAGTGCTTTATCACACACATCTGATACAGATGAAGGCGTTTGGCATGACATCATATATATACAGCTTTCACTCCTCAGATCAATCATATATTCATAGGAGAAAAACAAGCGACATCTTCATTCGCAGCCTCTGCTTGTGCTGCACTTTATTTCTACCGTTTAGTTTTATTCGCTTATTTTTAGCATTTAAAAGAGCTCTTCCTGTCCTCTTCCCGCAGCAGACAGCTCTGATAACTCGGACCTGGAGGACGACATCATCCTTGCCCTGAACGAGTGATGCTGCAGGAAGTGACATCAGACGAGCTCGACCCGTCCTGTACCTCAGAGAAGATCTGGCAGGAAGACGTCAGTCCCCTCAGGATCTCTCGTGCTCGTGCGAAACCAACGTCATTGGTCGGATGTGTGTGTTTGGTGATGCGTTTCCTGCTCCGAATGTCGGAGACCTGGCGTGCGTTAAACCCTCCGCACACGTGCCCGTCTCTTATCTTCATAGGTTTGCGTGCGTTTTAGTGTCTAGTGGAGTTCTGGGTAGCTCTGAACCACTGGATGACCTTTGACCTGCCCACCACTCCTCAGGTGACCTCTATAGTTTGATTAATCTAAACGGCTGAATCGAGTTGCTTAGACGTTTAGTTGATGCATTTTTTGCTTTTTGAAGGGTAGTTTTGTTTGATTTTACAAGGTCTGACTGATTGGATTGAGCAATAATTTCCTGTGATCGGAATATAAAGGACGATACGGCCCGTGGCCTGACGTCTGCAGCGCTTCCACAGGAAGACGACCGCTGCGTTTCACATGGAAGTGAAACTTTTTTAAGCATCCGTGTACAGCCTTCATTTACTTTATGGTTTAATGTTTTTGCTCATGCCTTTCCGAAAGTAAACCTCTAAGGCAACGTTGTGTACAGAATGTATTAAAAATATTTTTACTATACATGTTATTACAATAAACCGGAGAACATTTGTTTGCTTTTAATTCATTTCTGAGTGACATACTCACCGTGTGTGTGAGAGTAAAATACTTGAATGCTTGAAGGATCAACTGTAGTAAATTGTTCATCCAAATGCTACAAAGAACGTTCAATCCTACGCAGTTGGATTGTACAAATACATTTGATCTGACCATGTAACTTGTAGTAGATAAATGACATCTACCACCACCTCTACTATTCTTACTAATCTCTCAGGCTGCTGCAGGGCTGACGGGGGTTCGGGGGTGTGGCCCCTGAAAGAGGATTTTATTCATTTTAATGTTAAATTCATCAATCTGGCGAGTTCATGAGTTCAAAAAAGCTCCAACCCATATTCATTGTGCAAATTGAAGAAAGAAAAATCCAAACCTCTTTTAGTTGCAGAGTCTGTCTACATTACATTACTACAGAATAATAGTTATAATATTAATCCCATGACAGTAATAGCCGATGTACGACTTTTATTGGCAGTTAAGACTAAAAAAATAGTGGCCATAGGACGATCATGCTTAATAAACATGTTTTCGCTTGTCAATCTAATTCTGTGATTAATAGGGAAGAAGGCCAAGAGCGACACTAGAGGGCGCCCACGCCCCCAACACGTTTATCGCCTACAGCAATCTCCTCTCTTCTCCTCGTCTCTCCTCTTTCTTTCCTCTTCTCCTCTCCTTGTTTCTCCTCTCCTCGTCTCTCCTTGTTTCTCCTCATCGTCTCTCCTATACCTCTCTTCTCCGTGTCTCTCCTATAGCTCTCATCTCCCTCTCTCTTCTCCTCGTTTCTCCTCTCCTAGTCTCTCCTCATCTCTCCTATACCTCTCCTCGTCTCTCCTCTTTCTTTCCTCTTCTCTCCTTGTTTCTCCTCATCGTCTCTCCTTGTTTCTCCTCATCGTCTCTCCTTGTTTCTCCTCATCGTCTCTCCTATACCTCTCCTCTCCTTGTCTCTCCTATAGCTCTCATCTCCCTCTCTCTTCTCCTCGTTTCTCCTCTCCTAGTCTCTCCTCTCCTCATCTCTCCTATACCTCTCCTTGTCTCTCCTCTTTCTTTCCTCTTCTCCTCTCCTAGTCTCTCCTCTCCTCATCTCTCCTATACCTCTCCTCGTCTCTTCTCTTTCTTTCCTCTTCTCCTCTCCTTGTTTCTCCTCATCGTCTCTCCTTGTTTCTCCTCATCGTCTCTCCTTGTTTCTCCTCATCGTCTCTCCTATACCTCTCCTCTCCTTGTCTCTCCTATAGCTCTCATCTCCCTCTCTCTTCTCCTCGTTTCTCCTCTCCTAGTCTCTCCTCATCTCTCCTATACCTCTCCTCGTCTCTCCTCTTTCTTTCCTCTTCTCCTCTCCTTGTTTCTCCTCTCATCGTCTCTCCTTGTTTCTCCTCTCCTCGTCTCTCCTTGTTTCTCCTCATCGTCTCTCCTATACCTCTCCTCTCCTTGTCTCTCCTATAGCTCTCATCTCCCTCTCTCTTCTCCTCGTTTCTCCTCTCCTAGTCTCTCCTCTCCTCATTTCTCCTATACCTCTCTTCGTCTCTCCTCTCTCTTCTCCTCGTTTCTCCTTTCCTAGTCTCTCCTCTCCTCATCTCTCCTATACCTCTCCTCGTCTCTCCTCTTTCTTTCCTCTTCTCTCCTTGTTTCTCCTCTCCTCGTCTCTCCTTGTTTCTCCTCTCCTCGTCTCTCCTTGTTTCTCCTCATCGTCTCTCCTATACCTCTCCTCTCCTTGTCTCTCCTATAGCTCTCATCTCCCTCTCTCTTCTCCTCGTTTCTCCTCTCCTAGTCTCTCCTCATCTCTCCTATACCTCTCCTTGTCTCTCCTATAGCTCTCATATCCCTCTCTCTTCTCCTCGTTTCTCCTCTCCTAGTCTCTCCTCATCTCTCCTATACCTCTTCTTGACTCTCCTATAGCTCTCATCTCCTATACCTCTCTTCTCCTCGTCTCTCCTCTCCTTGTTTCTCCTCTCCCCTCTCTCTCCTCTTATCGTCTCTCCTTGCCTCTTCTCATTGTCTTTCCTGTACCTCTCATCTCCTCTCCCTCTCCTCTTGTCTCTCCCTCTTTTCTCTTCTCCTCGTCTCTCCTATCTTGTTTCTCCTCTCTTTTCTTCTCGCCTCTCCTTTTTTCTCCTAGTCTCTCTTATACTTCTCATCTCCTTGTCTCTCCTCTCCTTGTTTCTCTCTTCTCCTTGTCTCTCCTCTTTCTTTCCTCTTCTCCTCTCCTTGTTTCTCCTCTCCTCGTCTCTCCTTGTTTCTCCTCATCGTCTCTCCTATACCTCTCCTCTCCTTGTCTCTCCTATAGCTCTCATCTCCCTCTCTCTTCTCCTCGTTTCTCCTCTCCTAGTCTCTCCTCTCCTCATCTCTCCTATACCTCTCCTTGACTCTCCTATAGCTCTCATCTCCTATACCTCTCTTCTCCTCGTCTCTCCTCTCCTTGTTTCTCCTCTCCCCTCTCTCTCCTCTTATCGTCTCTCCTTGCCTCTTCTCATTGTCTTTCCTGTACCTCTCATCTCCTCTCCCTCTCCTCTTGTCTTGTCTCTCCCTCTTTTCTCTTCTCCTCGTCTCTCCTTTTCTTGTTTCTCCTCTCTTTTCTTCTCGCCTCCCCTTTTTTCTCCTAGGCTCTCTTATACTTCTCATCTCCTCGTCTCTCCTCTCCTTGTTTCTCTCTTCTCCTCGTCTCTCCTCTTTCTTTCCTCTTCTCCTCTCCTTGTTTCTCCTCTCCTCGTCTCTCCTTGTTTCTCCTCATCGTCTCTCCTATACCTCTCCTCTCCTTGTCTCTCCTATAGCTCTCATCTCCCTCTCTCTTCTCCTCGTTTCTCCTCTCCTAGTCTCTCCTCATCTCTCCTATACCTCTCCTTGTCTCTCCTATAGCTCTCATATCCCTCTCTCTTCTCCTCGTTTCTCCTCTCCTAGTCTCTCCTCATCTCTCCTATACCTCTTCTTGACTCTCCTATAGCTCTCATCTCCTATACCTCTCTTCTCCTCGTCTCTCCTCTCCTTGTTTCTCCTCTCCCCTCTCTCTCCTCTTATCGTCTCTCCTTGCCTCTTCTCATTGTCTTTCCTGTACCTCTCATCTCCTCTCCCTCTCCTCTTGTCTCTCCCTTTTTCTCTTCTCCTCGTCTCTCCTTTTCTTGTTTCTCCTCTCTTTTCTTCTCGCCTCTCCTTTTTTCTCCTAGTCTCTCTTATACTTCTCATCTCCTCGTCTCTCCTCTCCTTGTTTCTCTCTTCTCCTCGTCTCTCCTCTTTCTTTCCTCTTCTCCTTCCTTGTTTCTCCTCTCCTCGTCTCTCCTTGTTTCTCCTCATCGTCTCTCCTATACCTCTCCTCTCCTTGTCTCTCCTATAGCTCTCATCTCCCTCTCTCTTCTCCTCGTTTCTCCTCTCCTAGTCTCTCCTCATCTCTCCTATACCTCTCCTTGTCTCTCCTATAGCTCTCATATCCCTCTCTCTTCTCCTCGTTTCTCCTCTCCTAGTCTCTCCTCATCTCTCCTATACCTCTCCTTGTCTCTCCTATAGCTCTCATCTCCTATACCTCTCTTCTCTTCTCCTCGTCTCTCCTCTCCTAGTCTCTCCTCATCTCTCCTATACCTCTCCTTGTCTCTCCTATAGCTCTCATCTCCTATACCTCTCTTCTCTTCTCCTCGTTTCTCCTCTCCTAGTCTCTCCTCATCTCTCCTATACCTCTTCTTGACTCTCCTATAGCTCTCATCTCCTATACCTCTCTTCTCTTCTCCTCGTCTCTCCTCTCCTTGTTTCTCCTCTCCCCTCTCTCTCCTCTTATCGTCTCTCCTTGCCTCTTCTCATTGTCTTTCCTGTACCTCTCATCTCCTCTCCCTCTCCTCTTGTCTCTCCCTCTTTTCTCTTCTCCTCGTCTCTCCTTTTCTTGTTTCTCCTCTCTTTTCTTCTCGCCTCCCCTTTTTTCTCCTAGTCTCTCTTATACTTCTCATCTCCTTGTCTCTCCTCTCCTTGTTCTCTCTTCTCCTCGTCTCTCTCCTTGTTTCTCGCCTCTCCTTTTTTCTCCTTGTCTCTCCTATACTTCTCATCTCCTTGTTTCTCTCTTCTCCTCTTCTCTTCTCTCCTCTCCTCTCCTCTATTGTTTCTCTTCTTGTTTCTCATCTCCCTCTCCTCTTTTATCTTCATTTCTCCTATATTCAGTTCAATTCAATTCAAAAATTGCTTTGGCATGACTGTACATCACACAATATTGCCAAAGCTTGGAATACATAGAATAATTATAAAGACATCAAAATAGTAAAATAATATAGCATTATAGCATCTAAATGTACAAATTAACAGTGTAAAATAAATAAAATTTATGAACATTTAAAAATTCTGTGAAGAATTTAGAAAAACTGTGTATGAGTGTGTGGTGTGTGTGTGTGTTGGCGCATCACTGATTACGGGCAGACGCGTCTCTCTCTGGGCCGCCAGTTCTGTGTGTGTCGCCCGTCTCTACAGTCAGTGTGTGATTGCTCAGTCTGTACCTCGTCATCCTTCTTCTCAGTTTGCAGTCTTTCACTGTACTCAGGTATTCTGCAGTAGGTCAGGTAATTCTCTCGTTGTGCTTGTATGATGTGTTTGGGCCGGATTGTGAGGGTGTGTGTGTCCTGAGGAGGAGTAAGGTTAGTGGTGTGAGTGTGTGTGTGTGGAGCCGCAGGACCAGCTGAAGGAGCCGGCTCTTCTCAGAGTTCATCTCATGGGTTTTAAGGGCTTTAAAATGATAAGAGTTGGGGTCACTCATCTTTAGATGTTTCCAAAATGTGATGATTGGTTTCTGAATGTGTATTAGCAGAGGGTATTGGCCTCACTCTGCCCTGCATGCGTTGTTCAGTGTGTTCCTCTGTACTCCCAGGATACTCTTACAGAACTCGGCATGCAGGGTTTGATGCAGATGTTTTCATGCAGATTCGGATTGGTATTTCAGTTTGGATAGATTTTTTGGTGGCATAGAAGGCCCTTCTTGCTTTCTCTTTCAGTTCATTCACGGCCAAGTTTAGCTTTCCAGTTGCACTTATGTTCAG